GTTTGATTATAAAGAATTTTGAGTACTTGCACATGTTTGTGTACATTATGGATAAATCTTGTAAACCGTTTTCGATTTTGGTAACATTTGAATTGTTCATGTAATCCAACATATATATGGATGCAATTGGCAACTAGCCTTATCGACGAGAAGCGATTTCTTGGCAGAGGTTTTCCCCATATAAATAAGTACTGTATTTACTATTTTCTCAATGTTATAATAAAATCAAAATAAATGTTCCCCCAATTGAAATTTGAAGAAAAGACAATCAATATATTACATTTAATTTTGATTGGTTACTCAGATATTAAATTGTGTACAATTTAACGCACAGTTTTCATTTACAGTACGATGTTTCCTATATATATATATTCCTTAAGTAGAGTAAATAAATTATTGCTTGAATATAGACATCTGTATGAAAATCTTTGAATGTTAATTTCACATAGTCACTGTAGACTAGGGATTCACATAGTCTACAGTTTTTGCTGGCATACTCGGATATGCTTAAATACTTTCTATTACACAAACAATTAAATTCCGTGTCACACCAACAACAAGATTGCCCATGGGCTTCATCGTGCCCATGGCCTCAGGTTTAAGGTATGCAATGGTTAAAGGTAGCTAGATTTGCTCATTGGCTTTGGGCACTGCAAGTAGACATACAATAGAGAGGTCAAATCTATAAGCGAGTATGTTCCGTCATCAGGGAGCATGGTTAATACCATACTACCTGTAAAAATGTGTTATCCGTATGGATCACCTGAAAAAATTTTAAGATATGTTTCTATCCACCATATGTGCAGAGGTGTCCATTCCACCCAAGGTCAGACGTGCAAAGCCCCTCAATTTCGTACTGCCCCTTATTTTACCCCCCCCCCCCCCCAAATAGCCACGCGCCACCTTCCCAGACACAAACCAAAATTTCAAGGATTATCCAAAGTAAAAAGACAACAAATTATATAAACGCCAGGTAACTGTTAATACAGAATTTGTATAAGTAACATTGGTTTTCCAATAAAAGAAATTATGAGGACGATGTAATAGTCACAAAGATGGTTGGCTAATTTTTAATTCGCCCGCGGTTGCAAGGACATAATCTTCCACTCCCGTGAACTCAGCAATATATTGAAGACCCCAAACTATCACGAATACATCATCACCATCCTCTCCAATGATTGCGGTTTATTATCTTAACATTCACCCGAGAACGCGATGATCTGCTTGACATCCCTCCATTCCTCCACGGTCATATAAAGACATCATAACCACCTTCCGTGATCACGACAATCCTCTAGCAGTTGTGAAGGACCTTTTGTGATCATGGCAATCTTGACATCCCTCTGCAGCTGCGAATACATCATCATTCTTTCCCGTGGTATCAGCAATATTTCATTCCCCCGAAAATGCAAAGATCTTGACTCACCCTTTCCTGCGCGATCGCAAAGACTTCATCACCCACCTCCTACGATCACGACGGCAATATTTTGACATTCCTCCACGGTTGCAAATACATCACCATCGCCTCCCGTAATCTCGGCAATCATATTAACACACCTCCGTGGTCGCAAAGACATCCATCATCGTCTCATATGATCACGCCAATATCATAACATTACTCAACGGTTGCAAATACATCACCATCGCCTCCCGTAATCTCGGCAATCATATTAACACACCTCCGTGGTCGCAAAGACATCCATCATCGTCTCATGTGATCACGCCAATATCATAACATTGCTCAACGGTTGCAAATACATCATCATCGACTCCCGTGACCTCGGCAATCTTTATATTTCAGCAAATATCGTAACTCCACAAAGGTGTACCTCACCTCCCGTGACCACGGCACTATCTTGTCATCTCTCAACGGCCACGAAGACATCACCATCGTCTCTGGGGATTGCAGTAATATTTTGACATCCCTCCGTGGTCACAAAAACATCACTATATTGTCTCTCGTATTCGCGACAATATCTTCTTTCGGTGGTAGCGAAATATATCGATCACCGCCTCCATTAACGCGGCAATATCTCTAGGTTTTACGTTCCCATGCGGTCCCGAGGATATTGGGTTGTTGTGGGAAACAGATTTTAATGACGAATAGCCAAAATTATGCTGAAAATGTTAATAAAGGCGTATGAATTAGCAACACTACTTTAGGGCTACGATACTCATAGAAACTTAATAAATTGTTAATTCAAAATTCAAAAATTCAAAATTCTTTATTAAGTGCTCTTATACAGTTTGACAGCCAATTACATAAGGCACTAATACACAATAACATAAATTACATGCACGACAACTACCCTACAGCAAACAGCATACAACTTTGATACATACACATAAAAAATATTAATAATAGAAATAGTTTGAAACTGGTTTTAAATAACTATATTACTTATAGATAAATGAATAAATAAATTACTGATGAATAAATAAATCTATATGCACTAACAAAGAACCATAAATAAACAATAATATGCAACATGCAACCAGCAAACATGACTAATTGGTACTTTTCATTAAAAATTATTTATATTACTATTTAATTTAAATTTAAACATACTTAAAGAATCATTAAAGATATCCACTTCTCGGCAAGACAAATGATATAACCTACACATGTTGTTTAGAGGTGAATAGAAGCCCAAATTAGTTTTCGAAAATGGTATAAAATGACAGTAAAGGGTGACTGATCGCATAGAAAACATAATACTATGTTTCTTAGTTGTAACACGCTGTGTCTCCTAACGAGTAGTTTTAGAGTAAAATATTCAAAAAATAAAAACGTTTATAAATTGCATTTACCTTATAAGAAATCATAAAATATAGGGACTTCTCTTCTATACGAAAAATCAAAATTGGCGGCCATATTGGAAAAATGTTGGTTAACATTATTTTTTCCAACTTGACCAAATTTTTTTTTAAATAAAAAATCCAAGGCAGTTACAATTTAACAGGTAATTATGTCGACCTCCAGTCAATGCTCTCTAAAAATTATTTTTTTTTATCTGTTCGTTTTCTAGCGCTGATTCCAAAAATGATAACGGAAATAGTTATTTGTGTAACTTGTGGTGAAAGTGGCACTTTGCTGCACACGAGAGCGGCTCGTGCGGAATGATCTCGAGTGCAGCAAAGGCCTTTTTCACTCGAGTTACACATTATATTTTTCCTACAGTCACTATAGAACATAAATAATTAGTCTTTCAAACACTATACAACACGTTTTTAGGTTCAGCTAGCAACACAATTACACAAATGGTGCCCTGAAGAAAGTAGTACCCGTGGTCCGTATCACTCCGCTATTTTTCCTCGGCAAGAAATGTGCTCCGTCTTTTGAGAATATAGTTCCGTATGTTTTTGTAATTTGAAGTGGTTTCCGCGCCTAAAAAAAATGCTTTAAAGGTATTTTCTTGTTTATTAAGACCGCAGGAATGTTTTAAAAACGTTTAAAAGAAAAGTCCAGAAAGTTCAGAAATACCAAAACTATAAACACGAAATGACAGGTTAAATCGTAGTTATAATAGTCAATCAGCTGTTCATAGTATTATTATCTTTAAGTGTTGCCAACCTATTTCCAAGCGTACACGGATTACGTGCATAATAAAACCACGCTGTTTTGTGTTGTTTGGTTGGAATCCTGATGTGCGGCAAAGTATAAACCGTGCGGCAAAGTATAAACCGTACGGCAAAGTATAAATATGCAGCAATTAGCAGCTTTCTGTACTATAAACAGTACAGGGAAGCCAACTTTGTCGGGTGACTGTAGGAAAAATACTTCTTGCCCAAAATACATGTTGTGGGTACTCAAATTGTGTGGAATTTCACCCTGAACAAGAATATGTAATTTGTATTACGATCGCTATTAAGTAAAAGTAAAATATCCCCGAAAAAGCAGGCCGGCCGCTGGCTACTCATAGGCCTATACTGTAGCATAGCGCTAGCATTGCGGGTGACTCTCCGTTGTGGAATGCGGGCTTTATTTTAGGTTAGGATTGGTTAGGTTAGGTTAAGTTAAGTTAGTTTTGGTTAGGTTAGGTTAAGTTAGGTTAGGTTAAGTTAGGTTAGGTTAGGTTAGGTCAGATTAAGTTAGGTTAGATCATGTTAAGTTAGGTTAGGTTAGGATAAGATAGGTTAGGTTAGGTTAAGTTAGGTTAGTTTACTTACAATACTCATGTTATTGATGAACTAACCTAACCTAAACTAAACTAAACCAACCTATCTTAACTTAACCTAACCTAACCTAACTTAACCAAACCTAACCAATCTAAACCTAAAATAAAGCCCGCATTCCACAACGGCTAAGAGTCACCTGCAATGCTAGCTAGCACCATGCGGCAGTATATGAGTACGCATTTCCGGGGATATTTTGTACAATTTTACAATTTGAGTACCCACAACATGAATTTTGGGCAAAAAGTATACAAAAAGTATAGCTTTTCCGCAAAAAATGACTATCATTTTTAGAATCAGCGCTAAAAAACAAACAGATAAAAAATAATTTTTAGAGCGTTGACTGGAGGTCGACATAATTACCTTTATCTCTTATAACTTTCGAATAAAACAGCTGGCAAAATCATATCAATCACTCTGTATAAAAAATAAAATCCCCTACCTAAATTACCCCTCCCCCAGCTAAAAATCTCAGTGGCACCCTCCCGCTTAATGTGCGTTTTTGATTTATTTATTATTGAATGTTTAAATAACCACCAAATGTTTAAAACTTCAGTATCGAAAGTCAATTATTAAATACGCTCCTTATCATTTACAGGAAAATTGATTTTATTTTTGGCCTACTATTCACTGATACAATTCAAAATAAGAATTTATTATAATATATACCAAATTTTATATTTATTATATACCCAACCGGTGCGTAGTTTTAAAGGACTATGATAATCCATTTTAGCAGTCTTCACTCAACGAGAACGAACCAACGAACATATGTTTTTCTTCAATTCTTCAATGTTTTCCAATGTCAAAACTAAAAACAAAACTCTTCTTTTCTTTATGTCAGTCATGTCATTTCCATTTTAATCAGATTTTGGTAGTCATAAACCCCTAATTATATATCGACAAATTAATCAATATTTTACCACAAATCATCGATATTTATTTAACTAATTTCCAGAGTTTAATTAGTTCTCTAAAATACTAAATCACTAGGATTTTACATTCTTCAAGGGCGTGATGGCTATTTTAGGAAAAATTTTGAGGTTAGTAGTTTGAAAACATTTATATTTTTGATCAAAATAAATTACTATTTATTAATTTTACTACTATTAAAGACAATTATGTTAGTCAGAAATAATTAGGTCATGTATAACATATATTACTTGACATATCATTATTATTAGGCCTAAGGGTTAAATCATCCTCAACCTTTAATAGGGCCAATTTTGAACATTATTTCACTAAAGGTAACCTAGTCACCATTATACATTGGTGAGATATTTACTTATAATTAATTGTAATAGGATAATCTAAACAGTTAAGGGTTTACGTCATGAGTTTTAAATGTTCAGGTCTAGCCTACTATCCACTTTGCATTTTTTTTTTCTCCCATACGTTGCTACCATAATTTAAAACTAGGTCTACATAAATAACAGCTTGATCACTCAGAGTTTCAGTTGAAAAAGGGTTTTATCATAAGCTATCCAATCATATAACTTATTTTTAATATCCGTAACCGATTTATAAACATCCTTCTTAACCCGTCAAAAGATTTAAGTTAAACTAACGCAGATATATATAAAATATATAAAATGTAAACTAACGCAAGAACTGCCTTCGGTGCGGGGAGGTCGGTCACATTCCTTTGAGTCGAGTCCTGTTTCCTTTGAAAAGAAAATGGGCTCGCTGACAAACACTGAAGCAAAAAGCTGGGTCTGGACTGTCTAGTGTATTTAAATATGCACTATAGCAAGCAAAAGCCCTCCCACGAAAGTAAGAATCCTTCATTGCAATCTTGAGCGATCCAGGACGGCTGACACACTTCTATATCAGCTTGCCCTAGAACACGATGTCGACGCGCTCTTAGTCAGCGAACAGTAGCAGTACCGTGATAGGGACCCATCTTTTTGGTTCCCTGATAGTCTTGTTACTGTTGTATTCTGGGCGCGTAATGCAGCTAAAGTACAAGTACGAGGTCACGCGACGGGCCGAGGTTTCGTTTGGGTTCGGTGCCGGGATGTCACTTACTTTAGTGTCTACCTCACTCCCAACGAGGCCATCCGTGACTTTCGTGAAAAGATAGACCTCCTGGAAGAGAGCGTGTGCAATACCACAAGACACGTCGTCGTGGGTGGGGATTTTAATGCTAGGGCTGTCGAGTAGGAATGATCCTCACAAATTCCCAGGGCAAGTACATTCTGGACTTTGCTGCCAGAGCCGGACTTGTTGTCGTCAACGAGGGCAACACGACAACTTTCTGGCGCCCTGGGATGCGGGGAACGATCCCAGACATTACCCTTGCATCTGAGTCTCTTTTGCCAAGGATCAGAGCCTGGAGAGTCCTGGAGGATTACACGGCCAGTGACCACTAGTACATATTTTTTGATGTCCTGGATGGTCACACAGGGGCGGTAGTTACATCCATGATGGGACTGATCGTCTCGGCTTGCGATGAGTCTATGCCTCTCAGGAGATCCCGGTGCAATAAGCGACCTGTGTACTGTTGGACTGCCGAGATTGCGGAATTGCGTCGGTCAGAATTGAGAGCTAGATGACTTGCTACCAGAACCAGAGAACCAGTAGACAGACATCGTAAGTTGGATGCTTACAGAGTGGCTATGAGGTCTCTTCGTTGAGCCATCAACCGGAGTAAACGCAGTTGCTGGGAGACATTAAGGGATGATGTCGATTCCAATCCGTGGGGCCTGGGTTATAAACTTGTAACCAACAAAATTGGCACCCGCTCTCCACCTTCCGTCATGGATGGGGTCACTATGGAGAAGATAGTCGAGTCTCTTTTCCCAGCTCACACGTTGTGCCCACTGCGGGATTTCGGAAAGGTGGGTGACGTACCACTTTTCAGTCTTGGAGAGATGGAGGCGGCCGTCCTATCCCTGAAGAACAATAAGGCTCCTGGACCCGATGGGGTACCCGGCGAAGTCCTCAAGAAGGTTTCGACTACTAACCCCTTAATTCTTTTGCGCTTGTACAACGCCTGCCTAGTCGAAGGAGTTTTCCCCTCGTCCTGGAAAACAGCTAGGCATGGTGTTTTTTGGGAAGGGGAAGGGAGACCCAGACCTGCCATCTTCTTACAGACTTCTGTGTATGTTGGATACAACTGGCAAAGTCCTCGAGAAGTTGTTCCGTTCCCGACTGAATTTAGCGGTGGTCGCTGCGGGGGACCTTTCCCCTCGCCAGTATGGTAGGGTTGTGCTGCTCGTAACACTCGATGTGCGAAACGCATTTAATTCCGTGAGGTGATGCGATATACTGGATGCTCTGGAGAACACCTTCCACGTTCCGGCATACCTCATGCGTATCATAGAGAATTATCTCCTGTTCCGCCTCCTCATCACACTACAGAAGGCCCACGGACGATGAGTGTCACTTCCGGTGCTGCCCAAGGTTCCATACTTGGCCCAGACCTCTGGAATGTTGCCTATGACAGTCTCCTGAGGTCTGAAATGCCTGAGGGAACTGTTTTGGTTGGGTACGAAGACGACGTTGCAGTTTTGATAGCTGCACATAGCGTTGTGCTAGCCTGAACCGAGTTATGCGTACCATAAACGCATGGATGGCAGACCACGGTCTCTCGCTTGTTTTGAGCAAATCTGAGATCCTGATATCAACAAATAAACGGATTGACACCATCGTGCGTTGAGGGTAGGGGCCGTCGAAGTCCAGACCGTTCGTTCTGCTAAGTACCTTGGGGTTATGGTGGACAGGAAGCTTAGCTGGCGGGATCAGATTTTCCGTACGGCGGACAAGGCCGCTAGGGTGGTGTCCTCTCTTAGCTGGTTGATAGCCAATGACGGAGGGCCTAGGTCCACATTACATCCAGGGTATTCTCCGCGCCAAGAAGCTGGACCTTGACCGGGATGCGGTGTAGGTCATAAAGTATCTAAATGCCAAAAACGGTGAGAGCCCTGAGGGCTTAGGTCACATGTTGGCCTGACTTGATGTAATGTGACAACTATGTCTAACATAGTAGAGGGGGTTTTTCAGTGAGTAGTCTGTTAGATTCAGGAGTCTCACACTACAGGCTGGCTACCTGTGTGCGTAAAAGCATTTTCCCTCCTCTCCCTTAAAAAAAAAAATCTTATAGGGATTTAATATTACCACACCTTTTTCACATTTATTTCAGAAGTTATTAATTGTAATTAAGAGTCATTATGACAATGCCATTTATTGGTTATTTATTGAATTATTTATTGCATGTTGATATTTATATATTTATTTATTCACCAAGTTATTAGTAAAACTAATTTACCACCCTCTGTTTTTCTCATGTAATTGTATTTTAAAAATGTATTTATTTGATGTACCCCTTGAGGGAAAAATCAATAATGAATGATGTTGGTGATGATGATACTCCCTGTAGGCCGTTCCCTATATGTAACATCTGATCACCATGTACACAGAAAAGTAGTTTATTATTAGGCCTACTAGTAATATTGTGCCAAATTTGTTTAGTGATATATATTTTTGTTTTAAAGTCATAAAGTCGTCCTAAGACTTAATTGTCACCCTGTATATTAATATTTTAAGTAAGCGAAGGGTTGTCGGCCCTAGGGCCGTAAAAACCTGAACGCTCCAATAATGACGACGGCAGCTCGCATTTTGGCCCTGGACAGCAATGCGTAGCTTTCAGCCTCCAATTAACGTTTTTAAAACATCGTAGTGTAATGAAAAATATTTGTCAATCCTACTTAATTGACTCGGAACACAGGTTCTGATTTAATTAAGGGTATTATTGAATTACTCGTGCCGTAACCAATTAAACAGGGTAACGAATTGAAGGATAGATACAACTAGACTATATGGACGCCAAATACTCGTAGGTACAACTAGTCGTAGGTACTACTAGTCGTAGGTATAGAGATGTAGGGACCACTAGACGTAGGGACAACTGGTCGCATCCGTACAAGCTAGGTGACACTACTTGTCGGTGGCATACACGTCTAGTTGTACCCACGTCCAGAGTTGTACCTCTTAAATATCTGCAGGTACAACTTGTCGGGTATGCCACCGTCTACTTGTATCTACGTCTAGTTGTGCTTACAACTAGTTGTCCCTAGTTATATGAATATGAGGTACAACTAGACGTAGGTGCAACTAGACTGTAGTACGGGACGCGGTCCCATTGAAGAACCTTATCAAAAACTCAACCGACGTTCTCATTGTTTTTTGTTGTCCTTTGTCCGCTGGAATTTATTTTGTTACTGTTTGCCACGGATCCGTTGCCCCTGAATTTCCTTAACAATAGTAAAATGGTTTTCTTGGTCGGTGCTGGTGGATTTAAATGTTCTTCAAACCTTTCCCGTTCCCTGACCGTTTAAGCTGCTTATGACAGCCCATAATTTTGATACGTTCCATAGCTTCTGAAATATTTTTCAACACGCCAAACACAATTTTTAATACTAGCTATCGTATTCCTAGCCTTCTTGAAACCCCCCCCCCCACTTAAAGTGTTCCATTGGGTTTTTCCTCTGCACTTTACTGTGATTAAGTACTTATACCTCAATGGTTTGAAAACATAAGATAGGGTATGGTAACACATAATAGAAAAATTCTCTCCTATGAATTCTCGCACTAAATTGTAAACCAGTAAGGATAAGCTTTCAATAGAAACTGAGTCTACCATTACTGACCAATCCGACTGTCCATACCAATCCATAGTCCCCTCTTACCCTGCCTAAAAATATTATTTACTTAAAAGTAGACTAAGAAAAGTGTAAATGTGTGTTTTTTTTAGTGTTTTTGTTGTGTGTTAACTACTATCATGGATAAAAGGAGTCCTCCTTTTATCTATGCTACTATTACAAACAAGTTGACCAACTACACAGCCAGTGAGAACTCTTAAGGCTAGTACTCACTAGGACACCCGGTCGCTTATCAACCGGTGATCTGGTTGACGAGCGACCAAATTGCACAAATATCGCCGTGTGTGTACGTGTCTGTCAATTTGGTTGACGGCGATTTGTAGGTTGCCAGGCAACTTTTTGGTTTTCGGACATGTATCGAAAACCTGGGGGTTTCCGATCAACCATTTTATCGCCGGGCAATCAGATTTCTCAAAAAACTAGAGTGTGTACGCTTCAGCAACCAAGTTGATCAACTAAAGACGGCTAGCGCATGCGCAGTACACTGTTTGTGTCAACTGTCAAAACTAAACAGTGCTAGTGCTAAACGTGGTCTCTTTCAAGCTAGAGGGGTTTTTCGATTGTTTGAGTTTATTGTAGACTGCTCCAGTCGCTAGATATCGAAGTGTTGCTACGAGTCTTTCTTCGGCGGGGATTGCCTGTCTCAATCGGGTGTCCTTTTTCCAATATGAGGCGTCACCAATTGCAAAATGTGACGGAAATTGTCGTCTGACATCCTCAAATAATTCTTGTAATCCTGAGGATTATCATCTCGCAAAGTTTGTAAAAGTGCCATGTGGCTGTAACTGTGTCTGCGTTGAAGCCACTCTTTAGCACCAAAATCTTTTAAACAATGTCTTCCTTCTTCTATGGTTACTACAATTAATTAGAATTATAACTGCGGCAGCAATCTCTTCTTCGTAGGTGGACATGTTGTCACAACACACAAGTCAGTGAAACTAGAGCTCGAACCAGATTCCAGAACCAAACACAGTCCATCCCCACCAAATTTTGATTTCCTGCTCGGTTGAAAGTGCTAGGTATCCTAGTGTGTACCCCCCGGCAATAAAACGTTCAATCATCAACTTAGTCGCTCGTCAACCAGGTCGCCGGTTGATAAGTGACCGGGTGTCCTAGTGAGTACTAGCCTTTATCACGATCAGGCAACAGTCCATTAGATAATCTTTTCTATTCATAAAACATTGCATTGCTGCTTTTACTATTGTAACAATAAATATTGATTTGATGTGATTTGCAAAACAAACCTTAAACATAATAACCATAGCATAACAAAGGTAAACAGACATTATTAAATCAAATAAATAGCTTTTTAACCCGATTCCTCTGTCAGTGCTGTTGAAAGAGTTTGGTGCTACATTTTGTCTCAGTAGTCTTGGAATGATTTTACATGAACAATCCAGAATTGATCAATCCAAATTGATCAAGATTCTATTGTATCAAGGTTTGCTTGTATTAAATAAACTTGTTAATGGTTTGAAATTTTGTGTAACAGTTAGTGTTTTACAGGTCAGGAACAAAATTTGGCATTGTTGGAGGGGCGTGCTACTACTCAGTTCAGAGCGGTCTATGGGCCGATACTACACAGACAGAACAACTTTATAAGGAGTTGTACAAGAGTGCTGCACCATACATGAAACACACAGTAATAGAAGTAAGTTAGTAGGAAAATTGGCAATGAAAAAAAAAATTAATTTGGGTTGTTTAAACTTTTAAAGTAGCCTAGGTGTCTTAATTTGAAATATTTGATTTCTGGAACATTTATAAAATCTACCACAGTTGGTCGAACTATCCAAACTCATCAGTTCCGTTAGATCAGTGACAATAAATACAGTCAATGCGTTTGGTGTTTTTAAACCAATTTTTTATTTTATTTGAATGAATTTTTAGTTCATTTTTCATATTTCATAAAAGAACATTTTTGTACAGAGTGGGCCAGATAAAACCGGTCCCGAGAGGCGTATTCTTCATACGAGACGCGCCGATGTACAGCATGACGGGACATTGACCTTTCCCCTTCCACTACTGTCTGCCGTCCGTCCTGTCCTGTCTATCTGTCCACGTCAGTGTAGCTTGAGTGTTTGACCGAGCAGTGTGGATCATGCCGTATTCAATAGAACAGCGTGTTTTCATAGTGGAGGAATATGTTCGTACAGCTTCAATAATGTCGGTCCGTGAAAAGTTTCTTGAGAAGTATCCTGAAGGTGGAGTTCCTGCTAAATCAACCATTCAGGATTTAATTAAAAAGTGGCGTACAACAGGCAATGTGTCCAATATGAAGAGAGACAAACAACCAACTGTACGAACACCAGAAGCTGTGGCCAATGTACAGACCATTATTGGAAGGAGTCCTTCAAAGTCAACACGACGATTATCGCAACAAGTCGGAATTTCTCGAACATCTTGTCGGCGTATACTGCATGGATTAAAAATGCGTGCCTATCGTGTGAGTGTTGTTCAGGAATTGAAAGAGGTTGATTTGGCTAGACGTGTACGTTACTGTCAATGGGTTCTTCAAGAAATTGCAGAAGGTAACGTGGATCCATTTTTATTCATTTCTACAGACGAAGCATGGTTCCACTTATCAGGGTATGTAAATTCTCAAAATACGCGGTATTGGGCAACACACAATCCTCATGTAACCCATGAGAAACCACTGCATGACTTAAAAATTGGTGTTTGGTGCGCAATGTCTGGTCGCCGGATCATTGGACCAATATTCTTCGAGGAGACAGTTAATACAGACGTTTATCTACGGATCTATGAAGAATTTGTTACACAACTGAATCCAGAAGAAGTGTCATATGCGTACTTCCAACAAGATGGGGCAACCTGTCACACTTCTGATCGATCTCTCGCTCGAATCCACAGTGATTTTACTAAAGAGAGAACCATCAGTAAAGGCTTGTGGCCAGCCAGATCGCCCGACCTATCGCCTTGCGATTTTTATCTCTGGGGCCGTCTCAAAGGTAATGTCTATCACAACAACCCACGGACTTTAGAAGAATTGAAGCAAAACATACGACAAGAAATTGCCAACATTCCAGTAGAAGAATTGCAGACTGTTTTCCTGAACATGATTCGCCGTGCTGAAATTTGCATACAAGTTGGTGGCTCCCATTTTGAACAGAGACTGTAAATCCTTAAATGTACATGTTGTAAAATAGACAAAATAAAATTTCATTTTACTTAATATTATGTATTTTTTTTATTTCGCCTAGTCACTTTTTCAGTTTCCTGTACGCATTGTATGAGTATTACGTAAACTCGCTCGGGACCGGTTTTATCTGGCCCACCCTGTATAACTTGGTGCTTTCTTGTGGGTTGAAACCCTAATTTAGTTGATGTAGGCCTATCAACTGTGGATATGGTTCATGTTCCTTCTAAAGACACGAATAGGTCTACATAGGCGAACTACTAAAACTTCAAAATTCCATTTTGTAGTGTACAATCACCATAGTAAAAACAGTTGCTTGGTGGTGCACGTCGAGGTTTTAGGGATCCCTGCATGTACCGCTGGTGGTACAAACCTTAGTTCATTTTAAAATTGTGTGTTTGCATAATTTAGGCTAAAATATATACTTCCTTATTGTGCATAGATATTTGTTTACTAAATACGGCTACTCTGCAACTCTAAACTCTTGCTGTGTTTTCGACTAACATTTTGTAATTAATTGTGACCTTATATAACTGGCTTGTACTTTCTTGTAGGTTCCAGAATTGCCAAAATTTTCTGACTTTACTAAAGTAATTTGTAAAAAGTGGAACGACAGTGTGATAGCTTCTACAGACTTCCTTATGCACCTACCTTCTCATCTCTCCAACTTTGCATCAACAAGCTTTGAAAAGGTCAATGAGTTGGTTAGTGATCCAAAACCACCAACAGCTCAGTAGTTTTTAATTTTTGTTGTTGTATAGTGTCTGTTAATATATTAAATTAAATTAAATCAATTGCAAGACAAAAGGTTGTGTTTCTTACCAGTGCAATTATTTTTTTTACATATAAATATATATATTATAATTTTTTAAATTCAAAATCACAAGCAAAATATATATAAACGTAGCCCGACAGGAAATTAAGGTCAGTCTCCATCAAGCTTCTGTTACGGTCAAGCAAGCTTGTTCAGATCTGAGACAATGAGTACAAATCTTATAAGAGGCAAAATGCTTGTGGAGTGAAAAACAGTCATACTAGATTTTACTGCGTAAATTAGCTTTGCGCAGCCGCCGCTAAAGAGCGCCAGCCGAAAATTTCTATCCCGCCGTGCGACTTTGTGGCCTGTAGTGACCCCACGGCGCAATACTCGGGCCAAAAAGAGATATGTGGGTTTCACTGACACCACTGTCCGCCGGCGATAGTAGCACCTGTGCTACCTAGTGGTCGTTGCAGGAATTTGGCCATTAACAAAATTAAAATAATCACTGAATTTTTACCATATGCATTTCACTTCTAATAAGGCTTGTATTCATTATCTTAACCCAAAACTGTGTTCTTTATATATCCACTACCAGCCAGTTTTCCTCACTAATCAACGATCAGTGTTGTCTTAGTAGCCGAAAACAATATGAAAGTGAAAAGACAATCCCACAAGTATGAACCATATTCTGTGGTTAGGTTTCTCTCGGAAAGGGGTCATCCCCTATTGAAATCCAATGCCAGTTGACAGATGTCTGTGGTGCAAAGTGTTTAGCTGTAAAAACAATACATGGGGAGTTCCCGGAAGGCAATCCACATTCTCACGTCAAGGCAAGCACCAGGGGTTCATGAATTGTATCAGGCAGTGATTAAAGTTGTGGAAACTTTGCTTGTTTAAAATACTACGGCATATTTAAAAATATCATTGTCTTTGGAAGTCTTATAGAGATATTCCCAATCAGTTCGGCAACCTCTCGTTAAGTCACACCATTATCAGCATGCAAAACTCAGGCTAACTTTAGTCATCCCCGCAAATTAGACAGACGAATGGCCGCATCCATACTACACGGTACAAAACACTGTTAACATTGTGAAAGTGTATATCCATACCTTAACACATATTTTTTTACGTCAAAACACTTTGCTCTTTTCACTGCCAACTGGAGAGGGACTTCTCTAGGTTGACCCCTTATACAACAGAAATATTTTTATTGAACGTGATTTATACTTGGTCAAAGTCCTCCACATAGTTTTTGCTATGACAACACTAAACTTCACATAGGGATGGAAACCAGCTACAACATTAGTGGAAGGAGCACAGCGTTGGACTGAACTAGCTTGCTTGGCCATGACAGAAGATCTATGGAGACCTTAATTTAGGGTCAGTCCTTGTAGATAAATTTAGTTCTTATTATAGTTCTTCTTGTGAAGGAATTATTTTCCTCCTTATTTTATTTTGCTCAGTTATTGTAATGGATGAATGTGCCTCAGTTATGGACAATACCTATGATATTGTTCATTTTATTGCATGCATTCATCACTTTAATAGTCAGGGCCAAATTTCCCAAGAGGCCATGGGCTTATAGACAAACAATTTTGTAATGTCTAAAATAATAATAAATAGCCAAAACTTAACATATTTGCTGAATTGATCTTGAAAAAATCTGGCTAATAAAGCAATCTAATTTGAAGTTTACTTGAAGAAATATTTGTTGGTCAAGTTAAACATAACGCATCAACTTTGTTAGAACATTGGTCTTAAATACAAGAGAAGGCTGTAGGGATGTTGTCAACCAGTACGTATCGTCTTTCCTGCCACTATGCTGGCTTGGCGCTACTGCTCGGAGTGAATAGGGGCGCATGCGTGTGCCAATGTTGTTGTCGAGACACTGTTACCACCCTGCTCACCTTGCAAAACAAAAGTTGTTAACCAAACTTTTGATTTGCTTACAACAACCTTTAGGACCAATTTAAAATATATCAATAAACTATGACTTTTCTTAAAATTAACAACAAAAGTATTAATCAGAGTTTGCAATAGGTTTAAAAAAATGCAATACCCTCCAAGGCACCATTTATATTGCTTTGTTTTTCTCTTGCAAAATATAATTTAGATGCAGTATCATCATTGAGTCTAACCAACACAAATAGTCGTCTCATCACATTGTAAAATTAAATACTTGTTTTTCATGTATATTTCATGGTAGGGAGTTTGTTTAATCTATGGTCATGTTCTGTACAGAGTTCATTTTTTTAGAGCCTAAAATGTAAAGACACTTCGGCAGCAACATAAAGGTCATGCTTTGTTATAGTTCCGTTGGTTAGATCATTTTGAGTCATTCCCACAAACGTGAGATCTCTATTTAATACATAAAATTGCTAAAAGTGTTAAAGACGGCATTTTGTTAAGGCCAGAACCAAGTAAATTCTTCAAAAAACTTGAAATCATACAACTGCATTGTGGAGTGGTGTTTAAGCAAAATTATGATATCCTCCTGATATAGTTTTTATCAAAGGTAGTGGTAAGAAAGTAACTTTAACCAGACTAGGGGGCGGCAAAATGCTAAATCCGGCCCTGTTAATAGTATATTACCACAGACAATCTAATACACTGTAATATGTTTACATTGTCTGTGATATTACGCTGTAAGGTCGGGAAGTAGGTGTTTACAGTACAAGCATGACAGTTTCAAACAAGTACCATAAACACCTTCCTGGATGAGTTATGTACAATACTTAGTCAATAACAGTTGTGTTCCACGGTACCAGCAACAAATTAACAGGGCAAGTAAAACACAACCCATTCATACGGGTTAGTAAAAAGTCAAGAGCCCCCCCTCTAATATTTTTCCAAGTAAATATACAGAGATATCCTTTTGGTGGTTGTGCAATCTTAGCAGGAAGTTTCATTTTATGATTTTGAAATTTTTGAGTGTTCCCCCAAAACCTCTTTTCGGGGGACACTCAAAATTTTCCAAATCTTTTGAAAAAATCGTAGTTGCCCCCCAAATCCCCTCTTTTTGGGGGGACACTCAAAAATTTTAAATGTAAACCCCCATTTAGTGACACTTCGTTTTGAAGCGTTTACAAAAACTTAAAGAATGATGAAAACCAGAGTTCGTTATCTCTTCTCTATCCAAAATGGTAGCCAATATTACCATTACGAACCAATTTTACCATTGCTTTTCCACAAACATTTGACCGGCTACCATTTTGGATAGAGAAGAGATAGCGACCTCTAGTTTTCACCATTCTTTAGGTTTTTGTAAACACTTCAAAATGAGGTTTCACTTAAAGGGGGTTTACATTTCAAATATTTGAGTTGCCCCCCAAATCCCCTATTTTGGGGGACACTCAAAAATTTCAAAATCATAAAATGAAACTTCCTGTTATGATTGCACAACCACCAAAAGGATATCTCTGTATATTTACTTGGGAAAATATTAGAGGGGGGGGGGTCTTGACTTTTTATTCACCCTTTATAATCACAACAATGTGTAGCTCAACAAAGAGCTACTAAAAAACTCTGTGCTAAAAAAAGAGCTACTGTGCTTGTGAAAATGGTCGGTAAATTCACCCTTTACCGGTCCCTTTCTGTAAACAACCAATCTGGGGTTTACAAAAAGTAAACCATTTTACAAGCTAAATCTTTGTAGTGTGGTGAAAATAATTTTTAATTATGTGTGCTCTAATGTCTTACCACATCCAAAGCAAAATTAATTATGTGTAGGAATAAATATGAAAACCAGTTTTAAGTAAAAAGATTTGTATTCATGCAAAATGTTCAACAAATATTTGAAGAACTAATTTCAGTAGTCAAATTAAAAACAATTTAAAGCTTTATACACTGATTTTATCAAGTGGTCCTATTTTTGGTTTGAATTAAAATAAATAAAACAATTCACATAGCTGCTAAATATGATCATATTGATTAACACTTAGGCATACCTAGAACCTGATTTATAAGTTAAATAAGCTCAGCTAAGATACAACCCTTCACTCCATTGAGGCTTAATAAAAAATGATGTTGAACACATTCCAAAATATTGTTAACCTACATGCAAGTATTTAAAAAGATTAATTTTTTGTTTTATCAATCTATATAATCAATTCTTTTATTGGCCTAGGCTATTAGTACACAGTGCTTTAAACATCACTTGAATGTTTAATGAAAAGTTTACAATCATTTATGATTGTCAGTCTGTTCATGCATGGACAAGCTGAAAGCTTGTTAAACTGACAGCTCCCAATGAATAATTTAACTATTATTTTGTTAGGGGCTGCTAAATTTACATTAATAAATACTATCCAGTATTATCAGTGTTACTATTCAGTTTTTGATATTGGTTTTCTAGCTCTGATTGGGTTCAGGCGCAAATCACTCTGATAGCAAAAACGTTTGGGAAGAGGACTGTGAACAATAACCGTGTTATCAGCCTCCCTGTTTGGACTTCTTGACCGTTTTGATCTATTTCCGTTGTATGATCCTCTCCACAAAGGAAATGTCTGAACAGCTGAAAAAATCATGTTTGTCACACAACTAAAAAGACCAACATTCATTGACGCTAATGAGTCCTCATTGTATTTCTGCATATTTAAATAATTTTCATTGCATGCGTCACTACTTTGCACACTACTGTTTATCCTAGAGGTCACTTCGAAAACATAGTTGTTTTCGTCCAAACCCCCTGCAGAAACCTTTCTTTTTCTCATACTCTGAACTGAAGACATAGACGTGATAACCTCTTTTTCTTCATCTTGAATTTCCTCATGGATTTCAATTTCCTGGACTGATTCCAAAGGGCTGCTGTTGGTGCTAGAAACTCTGCTGCTGGAGAAAGAAAATGTGACTCTACGACCTTTAGAGTTGTTGAAACTAGGACTGGGGCCCATTTCACTGTCCAGTAAGTACTTGGTACTTTTAGCCATTATACTTCGGAGAGGAGTGACTGATGTTTTGTTTGTCTGAGGCCATAGTGAAGGTCTTCCTTCTGACTTGAAGTCCACAGACATGTGAGGAGTCCCATAGGAAGATATCGTAGATGCAGGGGATATGTAATCCCACTTAGAAGTTGATGTTTTATCTTTCGAAAAGCTTTCTATAATAGGAGTACTGGTTTTGACTACATTACCTAAATAAGGAGACCTATCAAGCGAACCATCAAGTGTTTTTGTTTTGTAGTTTTGTATTTTTTGCTTGGTTACAGTTAAGTGGCAATTTTCAGAAATTCTATGAACTGGAACCAAAATCTTTCTTGTCTCTGACAATGCAACAGATTTTGATGCAAAGTTCTTGTAGATTTCCCGATATACACGTTTTCTTGGGTTTTTAGAGGGTAATTTGTTGTAATGCTTCTCATTTGTGTTATTATCATCTTTACTTTCACTTACCAGTACTTGCTTCACAGTGTTATGGTTTTGAGTTTTGATGAAAATATTTTCACCTCTTCGTCTGAACATTTTAGCCAAAAAATCTTCCTTTAACTTGGGATATATTTCTGGATGATTTTTGAGTTCGTGGTCAGATCGATGTGAAGAACAACAGAAGTGCTTGTTGCAGACTGGACATTTGTTCTGAAACAGTTGATAGACCATTATAAATCAAATTACTGATTGGAGTCTTGGTCAAACTCATCTTCACTCTATAAATCTGTTATATTGAATAAGGAATGGCAAGCGATTAACTGTCTTTCCCAAGATGTATTAAGATCAAATGCAATGGCGCACTTTGAATAAATAAATGCGTTATGTCAAAACTTACACTAGCCACAGAGAAGTAATATAAACAGGTTTGACAAGACTATGGGAAGGCTGTTGCGGGCGTCCCCTAGTTTACATTTTTCTTGCAGTGTAGCGCGCACATGTCAATTGCTCTTCCTGTTTGTCAAATTCCACTCCAAGCTGGTAGAGAACGATATCACTTGGTGTTTATTATAGGCCAAGAAATATAAGTTGCCTGACGGCGTTTAAATTTGATCATTTGTGTGAATCTAGGTCTTTTAACTTTTCCTTATTTACATAAAATAATCATGAATTAACATTCTAGATCATTATTAGCAAATTTCCCTAAAGGGAAGTAGCTATTACCGTAGGTGGCACACTAAGACCTAGGCCCGGGACCGATTTACTTTTTCATTTTGATGTCCCCAGAGGCCAAAAACACCATTCGTTAAAATTTATATATATATATACATCCATGAACGTAATAACTTGAGTAATTTTTGTCCGATTTTTATGAAATTTGGTTGAAAGGTTTAAGGCGGGATAAACTTGAATGAGTTCGCGACCATTGGAACAGGGTTTTACGGGGTTTATGGGGTAAAAAATGGTTTTTCTCATTTTTTATCCTCAAAACACAAAATATCCCAATTTATATCTCGATCTTTTTAAAGAGCTTAAAAAAAACAAATAATTTAGTACTGTATATCAAAGTGTTTTTGTACGGTTATTGGTAACGGAGAAAATTCAAAAAATTTTAAATTTAAAATTCCCATGTTATTCTCATGGAGAATATTGTAGAATGTTGTAGTTTGCTTGTTTATGGATATATTTTGATGAAAATTTATTTATTTTATACAGGGTGACACAGAGGAACCGGACGTTTTTTAAACAGCTGTTCCATTGTTGTTGCACGTGGTAGGAAGATTGAAGTTATGTCATTACCTTCAGTGAGGCTTGCCATTTTTGTTGAAATGGCTCAGTGGACCCTAGACCATCACGTTTTCGCATACGATACTTCGGTTCGAAATGGTGTATCCGTCGTCAAATCCAGCGAGAATTTAGTCGACATTTTAATATTGAACGCCATGGAACGGTTCCAAGCCGAAATACGCTTTTAAGATGGGTTTCAGGGTTCCGAAAAACTGGGAATATAGGCTAATAAGAAGAAACCACCAGGCCATGTTAGAACTTCAAGAGCACCCGAAAACATCGCCAGAGTGAGAGCAGTATTGAATGCAACAACAACAACCTAACAAGGTGATTTCTCGCTTTGGTGACATGCCGTGGCCGCCAAGATCGCCCGGCTTGTCCACTAGTGATTATTTCCTTTGGGGGTTTCTTAAGGAGCGTGTTCCTGCTCACAAACCACGCACTCTAGAGGATTTGAAGTTGACAATCACAGAAGATATCAATGACATTGAACCTCCTGACCCGAGTTTCAGATGATTTTCAGACCAGAATGAACATTTGTAGATAAGTACATGGCCACCATATGCATGACGTCATTTAAAAAAAAAATGACGGTTTTTTAACAAATGGCAAATGTTTACCTCACTATGTACAGTATTAAAACCAGTTTATTCCTTTTAACTACTGTGTACTACTTATTAAAAAAACGTCCGGTTCCTTTGTGTCACCCTGTACTAAGGTATTAATATTTTACTAAAAACCCCACTTTAACAGTTTCCTTGTAACAGCAAACCTAGGGACTCGTTAAACCTAATGTTATTTAAATAGATTTAATTGAAAATTAATTCTGACAAATGGAAATTCGCTTAGTCGGCAGGTTTGCTGCGGCGGGGGTATTAACGTTATAATTACATTTTGTAATTTCGTATCTCTAACCACTTTTTAGAAAAATATTAACAAGTGGAAAAACAAACTAGCATCTGTATGAGTTACTAAGGACTTCCGCACATTTTAAATGTGATATTTTTTACTCAGGAACAATGCCCTAAAATATTGGTAGAGAGTTCTGGTACACCCCATATAATGAACAGGATATGATAGGCTATATATTATAATGAAATATAGCAGTTAACAAATTTAAGCAGTACAATCTCAAATAATACCATTAATAAGACCTTAATTAGACACAACACAACTTTGGTCTATTTTAGAGGGGGGCAAAGTTTCTGCACTGAAATATTGGCGGGTCTCTTATCAGCAATATGTGGTTTATTGGCCCAAGTTTAGTAAAGATTAGAATAATTCTCTATCAGTGGCAAATCAATTTGTTAATTAACTTAAATTTGTTTGTCGTAATTAAAAATGTATACTTAAAAAAATGTTGCGAAGAATTATTATCAGTGGATTCCTTCTGGTCTGGCTTAGTGGCTTAGTTCAAGCCGTGACATGGTAAGGCGGCAGTCAACAAAATGTTTACTGTACCTCAGTTCATTTAAACAGAATATTGTGTTTTTAAACAGAAATAGCTGTCATAACACAAATAATGGAGAAAGTTTGAATTTTTATAAAGTTAATACCTGCTAATTTATTGAATTTGTAAAATCTTTTAGTTTTAACTTCAGAAAACTTTTATTTTCTCCATTATTTGTGTTATGGCCCTATAAAAATTGTACATTTCTGTAAAGTGAATTAAATTTTCATCCTTTAAGCGAATTACCCATATAGGGAATAAGCTATTACCGTAGGTCTCATGGTAAGACCTAGACCCAGACCCGATTTACTTATATGTTTTGAGGTCCCCAGAGGCCAATATATATATATCTGAAAATCGATCTGATATCTGAAGCGATTTACATGAAATTCGGCATGGTTATGGTAACCAACTATGGGAAGGTGTAAATCTGAAATGGTACAAACCAGACTTCAAGGCTACAGCCCTTTAAAGCTAAGTAACCATATTATATTGAAAGGAGGAAATTTTTTTTAATTTCGTAGTATCTATACTGCCTAGACTATACAGCTACCTATTAATTATGTCTACCTGCAGACTGTCATCACAGCTGTATGTGTCCGTTAGCTCGATGACTCGGCAAAAATATGGCAGGGCGTATCACCTAAAGATGCTAAAGATCGTGCGTTGCCTAAGATTATCACCTCCTTTGCGCAACCGAGTTTACTTAAGAAAAACACATACATTTTTTACAATTACCTATTTAAAAGTACAAACAAATAAACTCTAAAAAGGAAAAATATGAATTTATTACGGTATTTATAAACAGCTGTGATGACAGTCTGCAGGTAGACATAATCAACAGCTGTATAGTCTAGACAGTATAGATACTATGAAATTTAAAAAATCTCGCCTCCTTGAAAATATGGTTACTTAGTTTTAAAGGGCTGTAGCCTTGGAAGTCTGGTTAGTACCATTTCAGATTTACACCTTCCCATAACCATGCCGAATTTCATGTAAATCGCTTCAGTGGTTGGGAAAGAGTATTTGTGAAAAGCCAGAGTGTAGTATAAAAGCTTTGCTCGCTCCGCTCAATAATCATAAATGTTTAAAACTGCAAATTAATCATCCCACTTACAAGGTAAAATATAATTTACCTGTCCAAAGTTAACTATGATTTTAATTGTGTTAAAATTAATTCCCTTTTAACAATTTATCGGGAGGCAGTTTGCGTATGTTGGAAAAACTACATTATAATTTTAAAACTCTAATAGCTTCCAAAGTGTGCAAGGTTGTTCCCTGACATTGTACAGGGTGATTCAAAAAGGACTTTACAACTTTGAAAATTCATATAAATCTTATTAAACAAGGTACAGAGCTGATTTTGGTGTTGTTTTAAAGGAAAACACTTCAGGTTTTTTTACCTTAAACTAAAGATGTTCTATGCGACTTCCGTTGGATTTGGGGAAAATAATTATTTAGGTATGAAAAAATAGTGAAAACCGTTAAAAATTTGAGAGAGATTTACAAAATTTTGAAAGTAGGGCGTTTTATGACGGTGAAGGAGTGCGATACACCCACTCTTAGATGTGCTAGGGAGTTGAAATTTCGCACACCTGTAGTTCTTGGTTCCAAACCACCCATAAAATTCCAAAAAGTCGCATTTTCAAATTTTAAACCCCCCAAAAATCCAAAATGGCGGACCTCTGAAAACGACAAAACACGTTTTTTTCAAACGGCTATAGCTCGAAAACGGTAAGAGCTAGAAAAGATTTGAGGAAAAAACGTAGGTTCGGAATTAAATTTCCTACAAGACACTATTATGCGTTTTTCGAAAATAACACTCCTTCACCGTCAAAAAACGCCCTACTTTCAAAATTTTGTAAATTTCTCTCAAATTTTTAACGGTTTTCACTATTTTTTCATACCTAAATAATTATTTTCCCCAAATCCAACGGAAGTCACGTAGAACATCTATAGGTTAAGGTAAAAAACTTGAAGTGTTTTTCTTTAAAACAACACCAAAACCAGCTCTGTACCTTGTTTAATAAGATTTATATGGATTTTCAAAGTTGTAAAGTACTTTTTAAATCACCCTGTATTTGTTCTAGTTTTTTATGTTGTGTGAAAAAAGAGAATTTTCTATTTTGCTTCAAAAGTCATAGTCATAGTCATAGTCACTTTGTACAATTCTTAATTTTAACTCTTTACCATTGTCTTGTTTTGGCAAACTTGAATCATTAACTCAATGAGTGTCAAAAGATGCATTTGAATTGCAAAAAAAAAAAAAACACGGCTTTGTTTAGGAATGCAGTCACAGTATACCCCAGCGAACGTATACCCTCACAGATTTTCACTACCTTGGGAGTGGAACTGAGTTTTTCAAAACTAAATTTGCAGTAATACAATTAAATCAAAGAAGAGTACTGTAGCTAAGATGACCAACATTAACACCACTCACTGTCCTAGAGCCTAGAATGTTCCAGTGTTAAGGGCCTCACCAAAATGGTGGATGTTATCGGTATGCACTAATCAGCTGCAAACCTGGGAGAACATTTCAATTTTGTTTTTAATCTTTAAAAAGAGTTCCCTAATCTTTACAGTGTTCAAGAATTTTAGGGTACAGTTTGATATACCTACACCTAAAATAAGTAGTAACGTTACCAAACCACCAGGTTAGAAATTTTGTTTCATATTCTCGATACTTGGTGGAATTTTGTGTTTGATTTATTACACAGTGTTTATTGTGCATATGTACAATCTGTTCTCCAATTCCACACATCCTGTTCCTCACCTCTGGAGGCTGGGGCGGCATACCGAACAAGTTTACACCTCTAATTGTTAAAAAGACAATTATAAAAGCAGCCTTTTGGAAACCACTTACATATCCCTTAGAAATATATTTTTTTATATGATGGGGTATTGCCATTCCCAGATTGAATAAAACTACTACCAACTGTACTTGCGCCTTTCATATCGCCCATTTCATATTTCTGGAATTATCTGATAGGCTTATGTTTCCATTTCTGATGAGCAATTAATAAGCAAAACTCTTATAAACAATCTAAATGACTGGTTGGTTAAATGATCAGAATTGATGTCAGTTAGGTTGTATGATTGTAGGAGAAATAAATGTGGTGTGACTAGGTTTGTTTGCGGGCGAGTGATTCAAAAGTATGCATGTTTGTGCACACACGCATACCGTGCCAGATTTCTCTTGTCAATCTGTCAATCGTATTAGCATTGATTTTATATACTTTGCCGTAGCCCGTTGTGGTGCCCAATTTTGGTTTCAAGTATCGGACTTATTAGTGTTTAAGATAAGTATCGCGTAGTTTGTTTTTGTCATGAAGGGCTTAGGACATACCCTCTCTTCACATTGGCATCCTTTTAAGAACTTTGATAGTGTAATTTATAGTGTCAAGTCTGTCTAATAATGTGTGTAATATTCTTTTAATGTTGAGACTCTGTCTCTGCACACAAGCCTTGCTTTACAGGGAACTAATTTCAGAGTATTTTTAATATACAAAGTATTATGTACCAGTGGCGGATCCAGAGGGGGGGTGACTGCCCCCCCCCCTCAGGCATACATATATATGTATATATTTTTACTGCATATAATACAATAGTGCATATAAATTGTGTAAAATAATTTGTCACACTAACTTTGGACAAAGAAATGGTACCTATAAAACTGCCATTTTGGAGACTTAGTTTACACCAGTTTTTCAGGGGGGTAGCCCCAAACCCCCCAGACCCCCTGGATCGCCCCCTCCCCCTTTGACTGTTCTAGATCCGCCACTGTTATGTATTGTCAAAATTTCTGAAATAAAATTATTTTATTTCATTTATTATAAATAAAACCTCAACAAAACAAAACAAATCCCATAGAACAACGAGAAATTCACCTCCCTAGCAGGTGTGCTGAGTGAAAGAGGGGGAGGGTTGTATTGTTTCTTTTGACTAGATTATTTGTGAAAATAAACAATAATGTAAACAATGAAATGTTAAGTTTCAGCAGCAAAAGGGATTTCCTTACTGAGAATAGTTATGAGCATGACACAAATATCTTGGCAATGGGTAATTCATTGGCATATTCATTATATAGCACCTGGGGTTATCTTTCTAATCCATCTTACCTCATACACCTAATATTATTTATTGTTTCTTTGATTATTCCACTCAAAACGTGATATGTAACAGGATAATAATAACTGAGTAATTAGTACACTGTTCTTGAAATTTCTGTTATTTTTAACGATCTGAAATATTCTTTCTAACATAAACAATCAGGTAAATAGCACACAGCATTTATCACATAACGATATTGTGAGCTATCACAGCAAGGATGTGATATAGTTGTAGAAAGTGCATTGCAAAGTAATAACCTTCTATATTATGAAAGCCCAAAAAATGTTTATATCTGAGTGATATATTCATAGAGGGCTTATTTTATTCCTTAACCATTTCAACATTCAACGTGTTATAAATTAAATTAGTATGGTTGTAAATCAGTTAAGTTACTTCAATTTACATAATATTACATAACTTACTTTCAGATAATCCATTTCTTGTTAGTATGACTGACACAGTATGTAAATCGATTATTTAAGATACAATGATAAAACCTATATTGATATTTATTATTATATTGATATCAAAGGGTAAAACTTAGCAGAAAGTGATAAGGTTATGTCTTCACTCCATAACCATTCAGGACTGACTAAAGTACCTTATCTGCTCAAGCAATGATGATACTGTTCTGTCTAATCATGATCATCTTGGAGTTCATTTGTGTTCAACAGACATTCCATGTAAAAGAAGAAGGCATAGTTCAAGATATTAGTGACCTGATGTACTGTATATTATTTAAACATTTCAAAAGAATATGATGTGTTAAAAATCAGTGTTTGACGTGAAATAAACTATATTATTTATTGTATCTTTATTTTGTATCAAGTTCTGTTACAATGTTTATGAATTTATCATAGCACAAAAAATATTTTAAATTGAAAACTAAAAGTTTGTAGGATTAAGTTTACAGTAAAAGTAAACATTGAAAATTCTATTAAAAATTCATGTCTTTTGACTATTACAAATAATAAAATAGACGAATAATATTTTTACTCACCATCATACCTGCTGTGTTCTTATAATTAATATATAACAATCTTAGGAAGAAACTCGTTACTAAGTAATTTCCTTTCAGTTTTCATATTAATTAACCAACCAAATAATCTAATTGATGTATGCACTAAGTGATTGCAAGATGTAAGACTAATACAAGAAGTGGATTTGGACTATTTATTGATAATGTGAGATATATCATGGAATAATGAAACAGGCAAAAGTTCTCTCTATTCATTTCTGTGGTTACAAAATATGTTAAATTAGTGTAGTAAATAAGTACAACTGAGCACCCTGAATATTATATATTTTTATTTTTTTAAATATAATATTCAGGGTGCTCAGTTGTACCCTACTTATTTACTACAATTTAATATATCAGCAGCCCTATTACGTAAACACCGAAATTAAAATACAAAATATGTATAATACTGAATGTATGTTGTGTATAACTTGTCTTTACAACAATATAAATACCCCTGCTACAGCAAACCTGAAGACCAAGTGAATTTCCATTTACCTGGCTGGATTTCCACTAAAATATTTCCTTTAAATTGTCAGATTTTTTTTCTTATTTAAATAATTTTAATTTTAAATTACTAAAATTTTAATGAATACTTTGGTTTGCTGCTACAAGTTAGATAATGAGGTTTTTTTATTGAAATTTTGATAGCTTAGTATGAAACACAATTGCTAAATTTGATCAAAATATATCCATAAGCAAACTACAAGAGTTTATTTATTATACATAAAAAACATGGGAATTTTAAATTTACAATTTTTTAACCTTTAGGCATACAAACGCTTTAATTAAAGTTATTTCTTTTTTTAAGCTCTACAGAGTGGTTCCCAAACTTTTTTGTCTGGTGACCCACCACCACCTTGGAGTTTTTCTTGCGACCCACTTATAAAATAATTATATTATTAGGCTATAATTATTTATTATTATAAATTTATTAATACAGGTAATCATGCATATTGAGAAACATACAACTAAATGGGAATCGTAAGGACGACGTTATTCAAAATACAATTTCTAGTCCAAAACACTATGGTTTGAAAATTTTAAATTATTTAAAACTGAAGTTTAGGCCTTCTATTTACAAGAGACCATCTGGATTGAATGTTGACAACTACTGAGGCATTTTTGCCTATAAACAGATGTAGCCTATTTCAGTATTTAGTTTTTAAAGAGGATGCCATCTCACACAAATACATATTTAACGACTCAATTAGGTCTTTTCGATCCTGAATTGATACAATTTATTGGTACTCCTAATTTGGTAATCCTTTTTGGTATATTGGTACTCCTCTCCTCGTGGTTTAAAACATTTATATCTATAGTTAATAATCAATTTTTTATAGCTCTTCAGTAAAAAATTAAAAGTTAAGAATAAATATATCATAAAATATCTTTAATTTTCTTTGGATTTCAGTAAAATAGGAGTCTGCAGAAGTTTTTGGGCCCAGTAAACTTACTAATATAAATGTAGCGTACCCAAAGTTAGACTCAAAATAAACAATATACGATATAGTATTTCTAAAAGATAAAGATAATTGAAAAATCTTTTGTAATAGTAAACATGAACAAATCGTAAACAAATCTTTAAATTATAATGACACTAACCCCTTATAAATCATCAGTCAGAAAATGTTTAACATGAGGTTAATTGTTAACAATTTAATCAAGCCTTCCTGTTGTCTTCCTTCGTGGATTCAACTACATAAACTCTAGTTTAGAAAAGTTAGGATTATAAAAGTACCTTTCATATATTTACAAGTTGTTAAGTCAATTTGATATATTGTTTATCTATCCCAAATTCACATTAACTGTTTTTGGTAATCGCGGCACTAACGTTCTCATCTCCAACGACCACAAAGGCCTCGTAATCATCATCCACATTCGTAGTAACATCATGGTAATCTACATGTTGTAAAGAATCAGCCAAAAACAAATGGACTACTGTCGGGGAAATAAATATGTGCACTTGAGTTTGAGCTTAAATATATCTGACGTGGATTATCTGATTTTGTTGAAACGCAAATTTAAAGTGGAACCTTGATAACAAGACCCTCGATAACAAGTCACCCTTGATAACCAGTGTCATTTTCAAACTCTCTAGAGAATTTATTTTACCCTTTAATTAGGTACATGTTATTGCAAACCTTGATAAGAAGTCAACCTTGATAACAAGACTTATTTGATAATACCCATGAGAGTCGTGTTACCAAGGTTCTACTGTATAAGCTAATTTAAATACATTTTACGTGGTAACAATAAACAAGTTTTCTGTTTACCAGAAAAATTTATATATAATTGAGTAGATTGGCCCTTTGCATATTGTGGCAATTTTGTAAATTTTTGGTCGCAAAACATTGAATACATGTTCCTTTATCACAATATTAGAGCAAATATTCACAATATTCATGTCCAAAACACCCAAAAACTATTTAAATCCACACTTAAAATTGGGAATAAAAATTTCCTGAACAATTAGTATTAAAAATTCCCAGTTGAAAGCTAAAAAAGTCAATCACAATAAACAGTGAATATTCGAACAAAAATTAATGAATACATTAGGTACAGCCAGCCCTGCCCTTCTTACCCTCTCGGTACTATTCTGGTGCACAAGAGCATAGAAAACATACTACTATAACCCAGAATGCCAACCGCATGGTAAAAAGCATTAAGTGTTTTGAGAGAGCTTTGCCTGTCAATCGTAGGCAGCGCCACCAGCGTTGCTATGCTGAGTGCATGGCAACGCTGGTGGCGCTGCCTACGATTGACAGGCAAAGCTCTCTCAAAACACTTAATGCTTTTTACCATGCGGTTGGCATTCTGGGTTATAGTAATATGTTTTCTGTGACAAGAGGCTGTTCCAGTATTCCAGAGCTCCAATAAAAAAACACATCTTTTATTATGGTCTCTTTGCGACCCAACAATATTGCTCCCATGACCCACCAGTGGGTCGCGACCCATAGTTTGGGAACGGCTGTTTCAACAAAATTGTTTGGAATGAAATTGTGAAATTTTATGATTTTAAGGTAAAAAATGGGAAAACCCAATTTCTACCCCATAAACCCTCGTTCCTATTGTCTGATCATGTTGGTTTGCGAACTCGTTCGAACAAACATGGTATACATAGGCTATATACCAAATTTCATCAAAATCGTATCATTTTTACTGAAGTTATCATGCTAATGGACATGCTAAAGACATATATATAAATTTGAACGGAGGGTGTTTTTGGCCTCTGGGAGCCTCTAAACAAAAAAGTAATTCAGACAAGGTCTTACCATGAGACCTACGGTAATAGGTTATTCCCTAAATGGGAAATTCATTAAAAACATAACGGTTTCTTCTGGTAACATTGTATGTTTTCCATTGTATTTGTTTTACTGAAGACTCAAACTCAATTATTACTGTCTGTTACATACAGTTGGGTGATTCTTTCCTATCGTTGATTTTTTATCAAACATATCAGTTTTACTTTTACAGTTTGCTCTTTGTATATCTTTTGTTATTTGTTCGTTCCTCTATTGATATCACTTAGGTTTAGCTTATATACCTGCTATGTCCACTACCACACAGTATCTTTATAAAGTGAGCAACACCCATTATGGTTACTTCTGTCACCCATCATAATTTTTTTCATAAACTCATATTGTGAATTTTAATATAGAAAATAATAGTTTCGCACTTTACAACTTATTGGAGATATTATGCACAAAAATATGAAAAACATCCATGGGTGTCAATTTCTGTGCTCCATATCAGTGATGAAAAATCTAGTATCCTATTCCCACTACAGACCAGAAATTACACCCTAGTTTTAACTTCAAGTAAATCCCCCCCTTTGTAAATTTAATCCTCTCAATTTTTTGCGAGGCAAAAGTATGGATACCCCTCCTAACTTGTTAATGGATTACACATGGTTACACCAACAATACAAGATTTATGGTACTTGCAGCCCTAGTCCAAATTAACCAGAGCGTGCCCCGCCCTAGTAAATGGAACTTTCCGTGATCGCGGCGAATTTGTGAACATTTTCTGCGATCACAGAGGTATCATCATCGTAAACTGCAATTTTGAAGAAATAAAAAATCTATTTTTGTTAAAAAGATTTTGTATACAAAACGCTACCGCCCCCTTTTGCTTGCGGTCTACTCATCCTAGTTGTAAATCCAGCACTGACCAGGAAACTGCACACCTTTATGGCATAGAAGTCCAATTTTTTTGGTTGTGACAATTTTGCCCGGGACTCCAAATTGGGGTTTTAGGGGCAGCTTAAAATGTTTAACTTTTAAGCCCCATCAAATGACTTAAAGGTCTTAGGACTAAGTGATCTTGAAGGCCTTTTATAAAGCAAAGAATATAAACAAAAATTAGAGGTCTCTATGTTTCCATCTCAACCCAACACAATGTGGCTATTAATTCTAAATGCTGTTAAAATGAGGTGTCACTTGATTGTGGCTTTACTTTTATAGTTTTAAGCTGCCCTCAAAATACCTCACTTTTGGGATGGTGGGAAAAGATTTTCATACCAACCAAAAAGAGTACTTTCATAGCATATAAAGTTGTGCAGAAATTTTTTTTCTTCTGATAAACCCATTGTTTATTAAGAAAGGGTATTTATACTTAAGGCCTAAGTTATACTTAGCCTAAATATAACTCGGTCAATGTTGACAGTTCAATTTTCCACTTTGAAGAAGGTTTTATTGATTAAAAACTGTTATTGTATTCAGTGAGTAGATAAGACCTTGTAATATTTCATACTATTCTATTTTATACTTGTATTTTACAGAAAAATACAACAGTCCATTTTTGAATAGTTTTGAACAGTTGTTCCCTATAGTTCTTATTTGTATGGCTAAGCAAGACAGGATAGGTAAATCATAACAGAATCTTTAAAGGATACACACTTATTTTTAATTGTCACAATTACTTAAAACAGTCATGATTTCTGTCTTTACACAGTCAGAGAGACAGAACATATGTCCGTCTTCATTGTAGCATTGAAAATACTTCATTTTATCATTTATTACATGTATTCTCTAGTCCTTCTCAAAATTCAGTCAAATAGTGTGAGTATTTATGTTCAGTCATAAACCAAATAAATAAATAAAACAAAATCAAATCTCTTTAAACAAATTTACACTTTATAAAAAAAATTGTTGCCTGTAATAGACAACATGTTATATGTTTACAATGACATGAATAAGATCATTTTTACACAATTTTGTACTTTCATTCTTGAAAATCGATTTTCACCAGAGAGTGGGTGTGAAAGACAACTTTACCAGTACCATTCGGTGGGTCTATTTCTCCTCTGGTTAGGCCATTGGTCGGACGGAGCAGTCAACACTACAGCCTCATATTCTTCCTGGTCCAGTGGCACTGTTTTTTTGTTATCTTTTTCACTAGTATACCTTGCGGTGATTGGATTTTCTTCTTGTTTCTCTGTGGCGTAAACACTTTGAACTCTGGAAACATACTGTTGTGATGCAGCAGGGAGGAGGTAGGATACTCTTCCACGATATTCTGGGGTTCGTCCGATATTTGTCTGGTAATCTCGTTGCTTTAGTCTTGTTTGTTGATAGTCCACCAAACTCCTTGTAGGGTGTAATGTAGATGGTTGTAAAGCATCATTTAATGTAACATCATACTCTTCTTCTGGTATATCCAAAGTGAAACCAGGAGGTCCACCATTATAATTGTTCTTGTAGATCGACTTAACAGTTGCTATGTCTGTATCGGGAGCAGATGGTCCGGGAGCAGTAATTTCTACTCTCGGTGATTGTTTGGAAAATTGCTCTGCCTGGTTCAGTTGCTTTGGATATTGATCTAAATCTTTTTGAGAATTTTCCTCTATTTTTACTTTGGCACGTTTGGGTACATAGTATCCTAGTGCTGGTCTCACATTAATTCCTGAATTCGGTTCAACCTTTTGATAACTTTCACCAACTCCAATGGCTGATGGTGCGTTATAGTCATCTAACTGGGATTGACTTTCTATTGCTGGACTCTTTTGCTTTACTGGTCTCCTATTAGCCCCATTACCAATGAGGCTATTTTTTGTGGTATCTTCAACCACTACTGGATAATTACTTAAAGGTCTAGTTACCATGAAAGGCCTTTTATAATTCACGACAGGTAAAGGTTGAGCTCCTTGATAAGATTGAGGTGACTCATTGGCTGTCATTGAACCCTCACCCCCAGAAACTGGAGATTGATTGCTACTTACTTTTACACGTCTATATGCACCACCATTACCTAGTCCCAACTGCGCTTTATCAGTAAGTGGTGGGTTGTCCTCCTCTCCAACATTCTCCTCTGCATCTTGCTTGCCTACTTGATCGTAAGAGATATCCTCTGGCTTAACTTCTTCTACTGGTTTGTTTGGCCTCCTGAAATTATTTCCAACAGTAGACTGCTTTGATTGATTTCCATCTTCTGCTTCAAACTGAGAAGGTTCAACTTTAACGCGCCTGTAGTTTTGAGCTGGATTTCCTTGTTTTCTGAATGGTCTTTCATTTTCGTCGACTATGGGATGTGCTTGCCTGTAATTAAATCCTGTATAGGGAGTTTTTTGTGAAGCTGACTCTTCGTCTAATGGCATTGTTTCTGTAACAGGCTTTACTGGTCTTCTTTGTCCACCACTAAAAGGCCTGGGTGAAACTGATTTATCAGAATTCAAATCAAATGAGCTATCTAAAGTCGATTCATGGTCAGGCTCCTGATTGTTATTAGTTGATTCAGGAGGTTGCTCTGTGATTTGAACAGGTTTGTAATTATCTAATAGTGGAGTTGGGGGTATGATTCTTCCTTTTGATCGGAAATTTGGATGTTTGTTGGCCTTAGTCTCATCAGAAGAATCTGAGGATGGTAAGGCTACATTTGTGGGCGTTGTTTCTTCTTGAGAAAAGTAATCATCTGAATTTTGGTTTCCTCTAAATGACGGCTTAAACCTCTGCTGAGACTGAGGATTTTGCGTAGTGCTTCTAAGGTTATGATAAGCAGGGGTTCTTCCTGGGCCAGTTGTATCAGAGGTTTGTTGTTTTGATTTGGAATCATTTACAGAGTCTCGAAATCTACTGGAAAATAACCTTTCCCTCTCATTACCTGAAATTTGGACATCCCTTTCATTATTTCGATCATTTGCACTGACTTGCTTTAACTTTTTTTCGCTTGAGTTCTCTGTTGAGTCATCTGAGTAATCTTCTTCACAACTATGGCGTCTACAGCCTGATTCATCATTGTCTCTTGAGAATGAAGCTGAGTCAGGCTTTGGTCTCTTACTAGATTTATTACTTTCCAACTGTTTAACATCTTCTTGCTGTTTCATTCTAGGCTGAGAATTTGCATGGTTTTTTGTTGGTGGTTTAGATGTAGTAGTGTTGTCAAGCGGTTTTCTACCTGATTTTCTTCCATTATTAGAGTCATAATCATCTGCATGCCTACTCTTAATACTTTCAGTAGAGGGTTTCTGCACTCTCCTGTTTTCTTCATCATCTCCAACATCTCCTTCTTCATCATCATAATATTCTTCTTCTTCTTCCTCGTCATAAACAGGTGCTGTATAAGTCTTTTTGTTACTAGGCTGAGGCTTATCTTCCTCATTTCTTTTCCTACCACCAGATGATAATCTGCTAGTGGAGATAAATCCAGGTCTCTCTGCTGGAACGGGATCTGGTTCTTCTCTGGAATATCCTCTATTACCCCCTCGATTTCCTCTGCCCATCTGAGATGGTTCTTCATATCGTTGTCTTTTTCTTGGTCTTACCGGTCTATCATCTTCATAATCATCGTCGTATCGTTCAGGTCGTCTACGAGTATTTTGTCTTGGTCTGTGGCGCCCACTCGGTCGTCGGGAACTACTTTTTTCATTACTATCACTTCCACCTTTACCTCTTTTTGGTGGTGGCTTTACATAATCTTCCTCATACTCGTAGTCATAATATTCTTCATCTTCTTCTTCATGCTTGTTCTGTGGTTTTGAACCTTTTTTCGGGTTATCAGTTGGAGAAGGAGTTACATCAGTTGATTTTGCAGTATAATCATATTTGTCTCTTTCATGAATTGGAACAGGTCTACGAATTTTAGGAGGAACTCTTGGTCGATCGTATACTGTACCAGCTGCAGGTCCAGATACACGCACAGTTGGTTTAGTTTCCTTGGAAGATTCCCCTCCACCATCCCCTCTAGAATTGTCGCTTCTAGAGGAACTGCTGCTTCGCGAGCTATCGGACCTTGAGCTTTCACGCCTTCCTCCTTCATAGTAGTCACCTTCCTCATCATTATGAGATCCTGTAAAATTCAAAAACAAATTATTTGTAATTTTTCAAATTTCTCGACAAGATTTTCAATGCCCATAGAGTTACAATAAACATTTACAGAATAACCATTTTCAGGCAATCAATAGCCTATTCCTACAAATGATTATTAGATAGAAAAATATAATTTTATGTTTTAATGATAATTTGTTTGGAATAACCATTTGTTTCGATTTTAAATGAGAGCACTAAAAATGTATTTCCCTATGAACTGCTTTTTCAATAGAATTTTTAAAGCAATACGTATGTGCCGTATGGTACAGATGAGACAGTTTTTTTTTTTCATTTTTATAGTGCTACATTCTGTTTCAAGTAGAATATTACGAGTATGTCATCAATTGATTACAGTGAACAGAAATGATATTTATGCAAATTTTGGTGTTGTTATTTCATTTGAAAACAAAATTCCAATCTTCAATAAAACAAATATAAAGCAGATCTGGATTAGTAAGTGATTCCTGGACTCCCTAACTCAAGCCGTACGCATCGTTTTACCACTGTCACCATGCTGGCTCAGCGCTATAGCATGGAGTGATTTCGGGCTCATGCGCATGCCAGTATAATCGTCGAGACACTGTTTACTGTTATCATTTAGTATACACGTACTCATACTAGAATGCACACACTATTGGGGGCTACCATTACATGAAGACCGACTGGCACAAGTAAATTAGTTCTATATGCTGATGATGCCACTTTAAAAATATCAGATAAAACGTTTAGTGAGACAGAACTATCAGTTAAGAATAATATGACCCCCTTGACTAGTTACTTCACTCAGAATAATTTAGCAATAAATAAAGAAAAAACAATTTTCATCAACTTTAAAACCCCACAGTCTGCAATTCCATCTGATAGTCTAAATATCGGAACAAATCAAGTAATTAGTAAAACAAACTAAACTAAATTTTTAGGTCTAACAATAGATCAAAATCTAAACTGGAACTCCCATGTACAAGAATTAATTGCTAAAATATCTTCAGGTGTTTTTGCCCTTAGCAGATTGCAGTATTTCTGTGAAACTGAAACCTTAAAACTAGTTTATTTTTCATATATATACATTCAATAATATCTTATGGCATCTCCTTATATGGTTGTACAAGCTTAAATAATATGTATACAATTCTTAAATATCGAAAAAAGCGGTGAGGCGTATATTGAAACTTCAACAAAAAACAGATGTAAAAGAATATTTAATTTCACTTAAAATAATGACAGTTTATGGGATGTATATATATCAAACTATCATCCACTTCAAGGAAAGGGAACATACTATAAAAACCATTAGGAAGTACTCATGAGTATAATACTAGAAATAGGAATAATATTGCAATACCCAAACATAATTTGGAACTATTTAAAAAGAAACCTACTTATGCTGGCACATTATTTTTTTCCAAATCACCATTAACCTTAAGACAAGAGCCGAATCCAAGAATATTAAAAAGGAAACTTAAAGATTTTATAATAACTATATGCCACAAGAATAATTATATGATATACAAGAATTTCTTGGTCCAGAGTTTAATTCAAAACCTTCTGGGACTTGAAGGGCTTTTGTATGTTTAGATTATTGAACAAATGCAATTATCAATAATAGGCTAATTAATAATTATGCTATTGTTCTAATAGGTCTTTTTGAATCGGTATGTTTGATGTAAATAAAATAAAATTATTTGACTTCTTTCTTATTTTATTCATGATTGTGCTGAGAATTTCTATTGTAATAGTATAAATTGCCTTCTTTTTTATGGTAAGAAATAGTAGAAATAAGTTAGAAAACAGTTTGTTCTAATATGAATCACTTATGGACACTGTTCAATGTACTGTAAATATGTGCTAAATGAATAAAGATTGTTTGAAATGAAATAAAGAGCGCTATTGCAGATTAGCGTCAGCGGCCCAAACTACGCCACCTCAACGAGTTCGTCATTAAAATTAGGAGAAAATATATTAGTCTGAGTTAGATAGAAAAATGCATTACTCTCCATAGTGTCATTTTTCTTTCATTCAATTTCTGTCATTCTGGCTTAGGCCTACGGATTGGTATTGTTGGTCAATAGCTTTGTTTTGATTTGCGAATATAATCTAGATGCAGTATCACATACTGTACGGAGTTCATGTTTGTTGACCTGAAATTTGAAGCCACTGCGACAGCAGCAATGGCTGTGGTTTGTTGCCGGTTGAAAATGTGACTATTTAATACACAAAATTGCTTAAAGTGTTTTAAGATGGCATTTGTTACACCCAGATCTAAGTAAAAATTTGTTTAAAGAACTTGCAATGATGAAATTACATCGTGGAGTGGTGCCTGATATGGTGGTTTGTCGGAATAAAGGTTTTTAGAAAAGTAACTTTGACCAGACTTTATGGTAGGAAAAAATATTGGGCCTAGGGGTGCCCAAAAGCTAAATCAGACCCTGAAGACTAATAAGTATTGAAAAAATGATATGAGAACTCGTCACTGAATAAGATAAGCTGGTCCTTTAAACAGGTTTATTTATTGAAAGCCTCATGATCAAAGACAGTTAGGTCCAGGACTCTTTCAGGATTGAACCAGCAACTTTTCGGACCAGCTAAGCACTATCTACTCAGCTCTCTAAACGATGCTGTAGCTACCTTGAGGACGGTGTTTCCGATTGTTTTTTCTGCGAGGAGGAGGAGGTTCATCATCATAATACTCCTCATCTTCGTACTGATCATCATAGTAGTACTCGTAGACAGGCCGGCGCCTGCGGTAGGGTCGTCTGCGCCATGGCCGCTGAGCTGGTGTTGTTGGCGCGGGTGTTGTTGTTGTGGTAGTAGTTGTGATCACTATAGGAGGAGAGGTTGACGCAGCCTTGTAAAGAGCTTCATTCCTGGAAAACAATAATGAACCTTATTTAACCTAAGTTATTCCAGATTTTAGGGATTGCCCATTTTAACCAACCCTTTGAGTTATCCGACCTAGGTCCGGACCCGTTAGGGTCAGTTAAGAGGGGCTCTACTGTACCCGCGTCCCAGCGAACCCGCAGACTAATCAAATTTTGATTTGGATGATTCGGTTTTACGGGTTTACTAAAATATTTCTTTGAAAATGTCAGAGTTATTCTGTAGGTTTGCTGCTAAAGGGAAGGTAATAAAGTGTGTTTGTAATAAAATTTCAATATATTAGTATGAAATGCAAAAAACTGCCAAATTTGACCAAACATATATCTATAAACAAGCAATCTACAACAGTTTACTTATTTATTCTCTATTAGAATAGTATGAACATTTTAAATTTACAGTATTTAAACTTTTCTCCGTACTTGTAACCATTTAGCGTACAACAACTTCAATATACTAAATTATTTGTTTTTAAAGCTCTACAAAATGGTTTAGGAAAACATTGCAAAGTTTTATGTTTTGATGGTAAAAATGGGAAACCCCCATTTTTGCCCTATAAACACCATGGAATTAGTTAGCATTTTTATTGGTAGAATATAGCTGTTTACATTGGTCTATTAGGTGTTTCATTTATATAAATTAGAGATCTGCGGGAGAGAAAATATTGATAGTTACCTTTGGAAAAATTTGGGCGAATTGTCACAATCCACTTCTGACACAAAGTGACATATGAATGTCCTTTGGTCAAAAGCTGTGTAGTTGGCACAGAGAAAATCATACCTTGTGCCAAACAAACAGTGGTGGTAAACCTGCAATGTCAATACAAGTTAATGGTACATTGGTCAAAAGCTGTGTAGTTGGCACAGAGAAAATCATACCTTGTGCCAAACAAACAGTGGTGGTAAACCTGCAACGTCAATACAAATTAATAGTACATTTTTGTTTAACAACCTTTTATGTCATTTAGTTCTGTTCAATTGATAATGTTGAACATTTCTACTAGTTCATAAAGGATAAATCAATAAGAAATTATGTTAAATTAAACCTAAGTTAAAACCTTTTGTTCTAAGACATTTCCTTGACTGTGCTATGCATGTAAACTAGTGTAACGGCAATAAAGCATTCTTATTCTTATTCTTATTCTTAACCGTCACTGTAATTGATACATTTTAACTTTCCATCTATGAAAACATAAAATCAGGTCCTTTTTAATGTACAATATAGCTAAATAATAATTAACAGAACAACAAATCACATTTTGTTAGTTTTTAACTGCAGATGAAAAATTAAAATGTCCACCTTACTACAAGAATACCATTGCCAACTGTTTTAAGTACTCATTTCTAATCTAAACTTAATTGTATTTTTATATTTTGCTGTATTGGCACAACTGTAACTATCAGTAGTGGGGGAGCCTCGCCTGTGAGTCTCTTCCTTTTTCAATTTTGGGTTTAATAAAGATGGCAGCTTTGAGTTAATTGAAGATGTTTGTTTTATTTAAATATATATTCACCACAGCCTACTTTAATAATAATAAGAACAGAAGAACATTCGCTACATGGCGCTGCGGACAGGATGTCTGCAGCTCAAACAAAACTGTATGAGTTGCCTAAACTCTACCCCAATAATTCCTCTCCTTACAGTTCGAGTTAACATATTGCACAGTATTCTACACTTCTCTTCATAATGAAACTTTTATGAGCATTATGTGATGCATTTAAATTAAATGTTCATTAAAATCATTATATGGTACATAAATCTTACAATTTTGCAATACTCGTAAAAATCTTATTTTGCAACTCTTAACTTTTGATAGCGGTTGATCCTGAATGGTGTGCAGGTTAATAATTCGGTTAGTTTTTCTTTACGCTGTAGCAAAGACAGCTGTTTTCAAATAACTTCTTGATCAGCATTGTACGTGTTATTAAATTTACGGAAAGTAAATAAAAGAAACGTCTTATAACACTTAAAACATATATTTACGCTTATACTGTTACTCACAAGACGGTAAATATACAAAAAAGATGGTAAGTGGTGATCGATTTCGATTGGAGTGTCCAATCGAAATCGATCACCACTTACCATCTTTTTTGTATATTTACCGTCTTGTGAGTAACAGTATAAGCGTAAATATATGTTTTAAGTGTTATAAGACGTTTCTTTTATTTACTTTCCGCAGCTGTTTTCAATACATACATTGCGGGGCTTAAGCAGTTCTTTTTATACCTACAGCAAAAAATAATGAACTGGAGCTGAGGATATCAGCAGCTGTACATTTTTGTTACCGGTAGTGAATAATTTCCTCTGTGTCTTTATTATCCTGTTTATCCTGTTAGGTTTTCTGTTCTGTTGGGGGATTAATACCTATAATGCATGTAAAGAACAGTAAATATATTTAATGTCAAAACTGGGAGTAGATGGAAACCATTTTAAGGCTAATTTTTAAAGGTACAAAGTGGAAGATTTTGAGAGTATATTAGCTTAAAGAAAGGTTCAGTATATTAGGAAACATAGTATATCACACTGGCCAATCCTCACTTTTCTCGTTTAACTAGATGATCTTGTGTCAAAAAAAGTAATTTAAGTAGGAAATATACTATTTAAATAAGTCAACATAATAACCTGACACTTGTGTGGCACACTGGCGTAAAATCCATCATGGAGATCGTCACATTTGAAATCAATGTCTGCTGGGACCCCGTTGTAGAAAGGGTAACTGGAAAGGTTATAACCATTGAGCTCCCTGGGAAGGTTGGGGTCATATATGTAGTCTTTCTGTGGGTTTCCTGTGAGCAGGCTCTTGGGTTTGGTGATGGTGACATTAGTGGGAGATGTAGCGTTGCCAGCTTCATCTGTCTCTACTGTCACTACCTGAAACATCAGTTTAAAAAATGTGATATTGCACTAGAATAAAGAGTAGAGGTATCTCTGGACCTGTTTATATTTTGTTTCAATGTGATTACATGTGTTTCATATCTTAAGTGGGAGACAAATTTAAATTGTCAATTTCCCCAAATTCGCAACCCAGTTTCTCCATCTAATCATATAGATCCAGGCCATAATTTAAATGTAGAAACATTTTTCAAAAATTAAGTTCAAGACTAACTTACTTCCTTTCTAGGATATCATTCTAAAAAAAAAAAAACATTTAAAAATATGTTTCCCAAATATTTATTCTAATTTAGCTTATAGGTTATGCCTTTATGGTTCAACCACAAAAATAAGGATGGTTTACTAGAGCTGGGAAAAAGGGCCATGATAATGAACTTGGGGGGATAATGAAATTGGGGTATTACAATGACGAATCTGGTGCAAGTTACAAATAAAATGTCAAAAGATAAATTGAACGAGTTAGGTATTATTAACAGTTTGTGGAGAGTATACAGGGTGGTAAAAAAGTCCCAGGACAGTTAAATATTTTAAAAAATAATGCAGATAGAGCTACAATACTTGGTACAAAGTTACAGGGCATAAAACTCTATTTTAACACTTATTCAGTGATCCAATAACTCTTCAGGGGGACGGCCCACAAAGAGTCGGAAGAAAATCTTAAACTGAAGCATAGGTCAATATGCACATCAAATTAAAGGTATTTTTTAGTATAATACAATACCGCAAACCGCACTTCAATAGGTTGATCCTGCGCAAAATGACAGTTGTTCAAAGATTCATTTAATTTACATTGCTATTATACGCTTACTCATCCGGGGGCACAGCCCTAGGAATTGGAAGAAAATTGTTAACGTAAGCATAGGTCGATATGCACATCAAATTAAGGGGAGTCCGAGGTCCTATCTTTAGTAATGTTAACTAAATGTCACTTTTCTCAGGAGTTAGAATAGGTAGGATAGTGAAACTTGGTATACTTTTATATTAACTAATTAACTAGACACAGAAACATGATTTTTCATTTAAAATTAAAAATAACTATTGTATGGGTTTTTATAGATTTAACAAAAATTTGTTTCAAAAATAAAATTTTTTTTTTTTTTTACATGCTTCTACTAAAGATATAATGAATTCCTTATGTCTGTGTTTAGAATAAGTCACTAAGACTACATGGTAAAAATTTCACAGCTGTATGTATTACCAGTCCTGAAAAAAATGACATTAAAGTTTAAAAAAGTAAAGTTGCGGAAATCGGCAAGAAAAGCCTCCAAGGGTCAACCAAGGGTCTACTAGTTTTACCTTTAAAACGTCACTGCAATGTTATGGAAAATATATTTTTTCATACATTTCTAGGTTAGTAATCAAAAATGTAAGTATACCATTTTTAAGAAGAAAAACTGTGCTATAAAAAGAACATAAAAAGTAAAAATTGAAAAAAATTTTAAAAATTCGACTTGGACTCCCCTTAAAGGTCTTCACTAGTAGATCACGATGCCGTAAATTCAAGCTCAAAAGAATGCCTGGGTAAAAAATTTTAGTCGTTCAAAGATTCAAAGTGGCGGATCCGAGAAATCTTTGAACATCTGCCATTTTGCGCAGGATCAACCTTTTGAAGTGCGGTTTGCGACATTGTATTCTACTAAAAAAGACCTTTAATTTGAAGTGCATATTAACCTATGCTTCAACTTAAGATTTTCTTCCGACTCCTTGTGGGCCGTCCCCCTGAAGAGTTATTGGATCACTGAATATGTGTTATAATAGAGTTTTATGCCCTGTAACTTTGTACCAATTATTGTAGCTCTATCTACATTATTTTTTTAAAATATTTGACTGTCCTGGGACTTTTTTACCACCCTGTATATTAGATACATTTACTATTGCATACCACTATTTAGATAACTTTAACTGTTAAAGCCTCTCGTACAAAACTAGACATAACAAATTCGTCATTCCACTGCATGAAAAAACAACTTATGTAGCTCAGAAATTCTTAAAGCTTTCCTGATTACATTAATATTAAAAATGAAGAAAATAATATAACAAAATTATAAATGAAACTGAATAATTATCTGATAGGAAAATCCATGAATTCTTTTCCAACCCCCCCCCCCCCCGCAAGGAATTAAAATTGATTTCAATTTTTTTTATGAAAACCTATTGCTTATTTTTCTCTTAATTTCCATAAAAGCAAGTTTGTTAATTTTAGGTACGGTACTAGTTAAGTTTTTATTTGCACCTTTCAGTATGTGCTCTATAAATGAAGAATTTGACTTCTAAAACAGTGTAGGTAGGGACAAACAACTGTGGAAACTACTGAATAACAGACAGAAGAACATGACTCAAATTCTGAAAAATTGCTTGCTCTGACATTTGTAAACTTCAGTTTTGTTTAAACAGATTTAGGAATACAATATAACATAATACACCTTTTAACACTTCTTGATGTATTTACACTTATATATTGTAAAGGCTTAAGAAAGTAAATTTACACATAAACGATGTCATGATGGCAACCAATTTAAACTATTCACACTGTATACAATTATGAATGAAATCCATTATGTATTATTTAAAATGGGTAACTTTTTATTTTAGAACACAAGATACAAGTTTGGCCCCCCTGAAAAAGAAAACTCCTGCACATGCCCTTGGGCAGTAAAAATGTTAAAGAGGCAACAATATCTTAATATTGTGTTTGGCACATACCTCCTCCACAATTTCAGTGGGGTTGAGTAGAGCAGCCTTTGCTTTAGCCTTCAACTCTGCTACAAGAGCTGAACCCCGCAAACTCTCCGATTGGCCCAGCAGAACTGCCACTCCTGCAATCAGAAATACATCATATTACTGTCCAACACCACTTTAACCTAAAAAAGTTGAAGTAACACCTTCTGATCTCTATTTCATAATAATGATGCTTTACATTGGTTGGATGTATTTTTTTTAATTTATCATCGGGTCTTGGTTCTGTATGTTAATCAAGAATTTCAGTCTTCCCACCCCACAACACAACCGAAGCTTGAGACAACACTGCCATTCTTCACAGTTTTTGCCTCTACCTCACAGAATTGGCATAGGTCTTATTGGTGCAAGGTTTTTTTATCCTTTGTATTCCATATGTGCAGTCATCATACCTAGAATAAGATGACTGATATGTTTACTTTACTGTGGTATTGACTATTGGGATCCATTTCTTCCTACAGGTTTTTGTTAGTTTCTTAAGAAATTCCACCATGCTTGCGGCCTCAAATAATTCTTTACCCAATCCATGATGAACCACACCATTCCTCCTCCACACAGAACCTTTATTTCAGACTGACTATCTGAAAGGGTCTACAGTTATGTTGTCACTGTTACAGTATCCATACTATAGTCCTCGCCACCCTAACTTGAGGCAGTCCAAGGCGGCACTAGATATACGCAGCCTTGGGCTGTCTCAAGTTAGGGTGGCGAGGACTACATATACCAGTATTAACACTCTTGTTACATGCAGTATGTAAGAGTTGTACAATACGAGGAGTAGCATAGCAAGTTCGATCAATTAGCTACATATGCTAGAGGATAGCTTGTAGTCATGGGCGAGTGGACTTGTTCATGGGTCAGACAGTTGTTGAGCTTCTAGTGCCAGTTATACTTTAGTATTATTGTTCCCATCCCTAATCCACTATTTGTTAGTTTTTCAGTGTGGAATAGAAACAGTTATAAAATGTGTTGTGATTTATATTTGCGATAAACCATGAAAGTACAGTAGACTATGCACTAAGTCTCGAATGTTGATCCTGTGAAAATCTTGTTTTAATGCGAAGTTGGGGTTGATAGCAACAAATTCCCTTTTGGATCGATTAGCTCACCAGAACAAACGTACTATGGCTACCTCAGAATTGTACCTATATCCATTATTAGATCAAAACCACGCCGGACTCTAAAGATCGTCCCAGAATGCCAGAACAAAGTAGAGAGGAAATCGATTTGTCATGAAGGTAGAAGGTCAATTGCTGACGATATGATGGCAGAACAATAGGTGAGGCTGAGAGCAGTTTCGTCATAGATTGTGTCAATGGAAGACCAAGAGCCGGCGGCAATATCTAGCTGTGCTGTCACATCTCGTGTACCGTTACTGTTTTCATTCAAGGCCAAGGTCGACTTCTGTTTTTTTATAGCCTTTATCAAATGCCATGTTGCTAAATAATTGCTCTTAAATCGTCTGATCTCTAAGAGCAAGTTGCAGAACAATCGACGATCAGTGTTCGTGTGGAAACCTAATTGTAATGTAATGTTACATCTATTGGAGCCAATCACATATTAATGACACTATGTCGATAAAACTAACAAAATAGCAGATATGTTGAAAATGGTTATTTGAATGATATAGTTTTATTCAATTTCGATGATGGTTTTATCGACTTTGGAAAATATAGAGTCATTCTTAACTTAAACCAACTGAGCCTTGCTGTATGTGCGCTGTGTGCAAAGATATAGTTTTGGATTGGATCGTATGCGTATGTAGACTATAATTGTAATTTGGTTGAATAAATGAGTAACTAAACATTTCATGAATGTTATAGATAGAAACCTATTTATAAGTATACAGTAAATTTTAAGTTTTTACTGACCATACAACAGGATACAATACGCAACTGTGTATGGGTTGAGTTGCACACCTTACAAGATCTGTGCGCAACATGACTTACAGTTGTGTCGAGCTTTTGCTGTCAAAGAAAAGAAGGCGAGTCACATTGATTGGAAAGTTAGTCAATTCCTTAGCTTGGCCCCCTGCTCCGTAGTCGTACACAAATACATTGTTTCACATTGCAAGGTCCTAATAAAGTTCGGGAACGGCATTTAATTTTTTGGCCATTGCAGACAATGCCACAACGCTTTGCACATATGTACTAGTAAAATTTCCTTTTTGAAGCAAATATAATTTTTCCGTCATACCGGGAACGACAAAAGGAGTCGGAAGAAAATCCTTTATTAGAGCATAGGTCGATTAGTACATTAAATTAGAAGTTTCTATTATGAGAAGGCCCACAAACCTGATCCAATCTAACAAGATTCTTAACCAAATCGGTGTCATTTTTAAATTACAAGGAATAGCAGCTCTAGCTTCCCAACAACAAGTTAAAGTTCGGGGTTTATTACCGTTGTGATTTTGGCTGGGATAGACCCACGATTACTAGAAACATACCGGTATGGATCATAAACATAAACAAATGACGTTTTTGGCCCGAAAGTAAACATTATGGTAAACATTATGTTTACTTTCGGGCCAAAAACGTCATTTGTTTATGTTTATGATCCATACCGGGTCTTTCCTAGTATACGTGGATAAGCCTTGTTTGCGGAAATCACCCCCCCCCCCCCCCCCCAACCCAACCATTAATGTAATGTACTACTCGACATATGCTCCTGATTACTTCAGACTCCTTGTGGGTCGTACGATGGAACAAAATAGTAGTTATTTGCTTGAAAGAGTATATTATTTAGGACTATTCCGATAGACTATCGTCTGCAATGGTCAGAAAATAAAATGTACTCCGGGGCTTTTTGAGGAAATTTTGTAGACGTCCCAAAACCCTCTAGTGCTCAATGAACCCTAAATGAAGTTATAGTAAAGTTTAAATGAAAGTTATCATCATCACTCAGTCCAGACAAATTTGATGAATTTTCCAGCTCCATTAATCGCCAAAAAATTCAAAAACAATCACACATAGTGATGTTTTAAAACGTCCCAACATAATTCAAGTGGCAAATGTTAGTTTTAATAAGCACAACATTAAATGTGTTAGCTTGTCCACATAGATTGTTTATATTTCAATATTGAATAAATGTAACAATTTAATGGTAGATTTTGTAACACAAACAAACTTACTTAAGGCTCTGTTTATTGACACATATTAAATTGAATTCTGATAAAAAAGTGAATTGCCCTAGTAAAAAATCTTCGCGTAAAATTTACGAGCTGTTTGAATTATATCAATATTTTTTAATCCAAACACTTTTTTGTTGTTTTCGTTGCACTTCATAACCCTTAAAAAAATTTCTTACTATACTGTATTGTATTAGGAATAATATGTTTTTACTAATCAATACATGCTCCTGGGGAAAGAAAGATAGCTTGGATTACACTTGTCCAAACTACGGATGTAACTACACACATGTAACTGAGGCTATAACCTAAATTCTAAATAAATATAATAACAACTATGAACAATAACTATGATATAACGTACAAATTTCATTGTTTTATACAGGGAAACTTGAATTTGAGAGCTACATGTATAATATGAATAAGTATTAGCACAGAATACCTCACTTCCAACATTTTAATGCACTGCATGTTTTTAAGTAGTTTAGTTACTTCGCGGTTGAGCTTCAAACTGTATTGTCTATACTTTGTTCCAGACAGAGGTGGTTCTATGGTATTAGTTACATGAAACATTACAGTCATCAAGTATCGTCGTTTACATTATGCCGTTTGGGTAGTCCCAAATGAGACCTAGATCCTAGTTTGACAGGTTTCAGGGAAACAATTGACAATCCGTAAAATAGTCCCGAATTCATAGCGCAAATACGGGAAGTTGCTACATTACAATACTACTCCACGCCTATTTATTAGAAAACATTTGGTAAATTTCTCCGTTTCATGACAGGCTTATGAAGAAAGAAAAACTACGTTTGTGTGGACGTCGTAGCAGTGCTCCCAAGTACTCATTTAATTTTTAACTACTGTATTGTATTTACACCGGAGGTGGCTCAGGTGGCTACAAGTAGATGTCCTGTGTTATAAGCAATGGTATTTATAAGGAATATAATAAATCAGGCCTAACTGGTGCTTTTAGTGTTTCTGATTAGGTAGAATTATTTCAGTGAACTTAACAAGGAGAAAATTTTATAGTTTTCGATAGTCGCAACAACATGTTGAAGAATAAAGTAATATAAGTAATTTTACAGATCTCATTTCCCATATTCACTCATTAGGCTGAACGTAACACGATTGCCTCTTGTTTAACAAAGGAATTTCAATTCCTTTTTTACCCGGGTGTGCAAGCAATGAAGCAATACTCACTAACTCGATATCACGTTGCTTCGGGTATGCATTACTTTCATAATAGTTGAGGCTAGTTTAGAATTACACAACTTGAGAGGCAAAATCGTCCGACAAATGCAACAAAACTGGAATGTTGTTAAAACGCCGAAACACGGAAACTAGCGAGCGATGTTGAAACCGCCGCGTCGGTCGACCAGACCAATCGACTGTTTCACATATTTGTAGCTCTTAATTGGGTAGCCAATCTCCTTTTACTGGGTTTATCTACTGTTGAAACCGTTCCACAACTCGTGGCTCTATTCTACCATGATCGGTTATTTAACGCTTGATCCATAGAGGGAAATAATCAAAAAGATTATTTTTCATTCAATTTGGAGTATTTGAAAATCCTACTAAACTTTCAAAACACACACTGTTTGGTTAAAAAATAAATTAACAAATCCTATTATCATAGCAGGCACTAATTACGGTTTTCTATATTTGTTAATAAAGAGGATAAAAAGGTACCCGCGTGCCCGTTATTAGCCTACCATGGCCTACCGTACTCAAATTATGATCAAAAGTATCACAATAAATAACAGTATATCATCATGATCAGTATTGTCAAATTTTAGTTTTGTTTGTTGTTTGCCAACTGTTCAAAATTTACATCAACAGAATTTTACATGACCCTTAAATGCCTTCACTACCTAGATTTTTGAATCCAAACACTTTTTCGTCCCTGTTAAAAGGACCGAAACAAAAAACGATTTTACATTATTATTTTTTCTATTTGCAATAAACTGGAAAGAAATGGGGGATACACGTTTCCCGATTCCCCCCATCTACCTGGTCAAGCCGTGGTGTTTTTCTTTTGCTATTTCTACCCTTTTAATCCCTACTAATTGTTGACTTTTCACCATATCGCAGGGTGGGGATTAAGTTTTGTTTTTGCCTGTCTCCTGAGTCGAAGCAGATGTCCAAAAAATGATGGTGTATATGCCATATAATGGAACTTTATTAAAATGTCAAATAGCTACAAACAACAAGACCATTTGATAGTAATGAAAAACTAGCTGGTTGTTTACACAGGTACTATGATTAACGGATTAACGGTAACTTAAAAAACATTATTAGTGCTATTAGCGTGGCTGTCATGTTCTAGAAAAGAGTTAAATATTGGTTAAGATAGTGAACAATCATTGTCATAAAAATGTTCACGAATACAGCTTGGTTCCAGTCTACGGGTAATAACTTTAAACCTGTAGTGAGGTCACATGTAAAGGTCAACAGCCCAGCACCTGTCTCACAAATACCAAGGTGATCTGGGTAAAGCTGAAACAGACTATAAATCTCGCATTTGTTTATTTAGATGTTTCTTTTTCAGAAAATACAATTGAATCATTAATAACTCTTACAGACTTTGCCTTCGTGCCAAACAAAACACAAGTAAATATAAATTGTATAAGAAATTACTCTTTGAAGATGTCACGCTACGCTTTAAGTTTGTTAACCCTCTACAAGAACAGGTAACGTAAAATGTGTTGTTAAAACTGTAAAAAATATTACGAAAACTGGGTATACTGTATCAATGTTCAAGTAATATAATGTGCACTTTTCTATGTTCTGGTCCGGGATTGTTTTCTATTTTACTTCAGGCTAGACCCAAGGGGGCCGCAGCATTATCACTTAAATAAATCCATTGATTCTTGGGGGGATTTAAATCTTTTAATCATTTTTTAAAGGCTTTACTTCGTTGACTGTGTAGTTAATTGTTCTTATGGACGTTGGATACAAGAAGAATTGTTATCCTATTTCAACATCTGAATAATTTTCAAGTGAATTTAATATTCGTTTACGCCTGAGTGAAATGTCTTACATTTTATAATAAATCTCAAATTATGCGCTTCACTCTTTATCTTAAGTAATATTATCAGAGGACAGGCCTCAGTACAGTTTGCAAATAATCGTTTTATGAGCTGTTGTGGTAATTTAATGTTGGTAAAATAACGAGAAATAAAACAATAAACCGGAGGGAAGTGTGCCTGAGTAACATTAAGACAATTTGAAATGTTAAAATGTAACAGTAATTTGAATTTGAATTATTGTGTTTGTGGTGTTATATTGCATCTTGACATGGTAACAGCTGTTCATATAATATTTGGTTTTAACACATCAACATGGAGAGCATTTTGGAACCTTATTTATAAGGGTTAACAGTGTGATAAATTTACCTTTTGTTACTTAGTTAGCGTAGAAAATAGTGCAGTACAAAATATAGGCCTAGGTTCGCCACATAGCTTTTTCAACCCTCTCTAATTTTCCGACCTCTATTTCACCTTGGCCAGAAAACTATGGCTCTTTTTGGAAAGTAATTTTAGGACCTGTTGGTGAAATATACTATTTTAAAATTATAAATCGTTCGTGAAAACAGCCGGTGAAAACATGAGATGGATTCTAAATCATTCTTAAAACATCCGTAGTACTCTAAGTACAACCCAAGAATTAATTATCAATTGCCCCAGAAATCAAATAGACTATATCGCGTAGAACATGTAAAATGCAGTATATAGTAGTGTCATAAAATTTATTTCATTTTATATTTTGTACAAAGATGTAACATTTGATGGTCTTTTGGTCTAGTTTGTTTTCAAAATAATTTTACTTTTAGCGTTTTATTTATTCTATAGACTTTAAAACCGAGTTATAAAATAATAGTTTCATAATTATATAAATAACAGAGTATTTTTATAACGCATGCAAGTGCTGGGATTGTACTTATTTGCACACAATGACGAATCGCTCGAGGACAGCAATCTAAAAAAGTATCTTTTACACGTTTCAAACGTTATCTGTTTAGATTAAAACTATTGACTTTATTAAACCAAATACAGGGTGTCCCGGAACTCTCTACCACTAATTTAGGGCATTTTTTCTAACTAACAAATATATCTAAAGATCACATTTAAATTGTCCGGAAGTCCTTAGTTACTCACACAGCCGCCTTTTTTTCACTCATTCATTCTTTTCTTAAAAGTGGTTAAAGATACAAAATTGAAACTTTGCACACACATTTATGAAAACTAGATAAAGCTACAAAAAACTATGAAAAATTTACAAATTCATAAAACAAAATGGCGGCCATTTAAAATTGTGTTTCTTAAATAACTCAAAAACTGTTTAGTTTACGGAAATCTTACATGAATACATTTTCTAAGGCAATTAAATAAAAAATCGAATGACACCTTGTTTTTTAAGATTGGACGAATATTAAGTAAGATATGGCAGCTTTAGTGATACGTGACCGCTGGATGCATGCACTGCAACTAACTTTCAGCGGTCTATCTCAGTTAAAAACTGTAAAAAACAGACAGAATTATGATGATTATGAATTATGAATTTTTTTACCTGTTTTGCTATTCGTCCAATCCTAAAAAATAAGGTGTCAATCGATTTTTAATTAAATTTCCTTAGAAAAGTTATTTTTGTAAAATGTTTGTAAACTCAACAGTTTTTGAGTTATTTAAGAAACAATATATAGCAATATAATTTGTTTTACATATTTGTTAGACTTAATTATAAAAAACAAACTTACCCGCTAGTAGTATCCACAGCCTTGCTTGAGTGTACATCTAGAATTAAAACAAATTATTTCAGTGTTTATATTCAATTAGTTATACACGTAATATTCTAATTGGCATTGTACACAAATTGAAGAGCCATATTGAATATATTTTATTTAGATACGAGCTAGCCCTCAATCCTTAATATTGTTTTACTTTATAGCAGTCAAAAGCGGGCCCACATTGAACATGTTAAATGCATTCGTCTACAGATTACAGGTTTTGGCAGATTTAACTTACATAAATATTTCTCTTTCCTTACAAAGTAGCTTATTTAGTGTTCCAGGTACGCTTTAGTTTTTCATTCAAGTTTGCTATTCTTAAACAGCCTTGTATTCAAAATGAAAGTTTTACAGTTCAATAATATAAATTTAAAAATCTCATGGTAAAATCTACTAATTGCCCGTTCGTGATACATTTTATACACATAAATATATATATATATATTTTATTTAATATATATATATATATATATTAAATTAAACCCTCATATTGGTGTAATTAATACAAATTAAGCAATATATAGTCCCTTTTAAAACAATATTCTGAAATGAGCTGGAAAAACATGTTATTACGTGTTTTCCTGCTATTAAAGAATCGAATCATGAAAATTGGCCAGAACTATTGGTGGAGCAATTGCAGTAGTTCCAGAACATTGTTACGAACAAACAGAATTATCCGCTCCAACAGTGCAGGGTGTCTAAATGTCTTCCGAAGCCTAGTCACTACAGTGACCTCATTGATTGATGTAAAGTCACATAAAACTATCAAACTAGTAATGATATACAACACGACAAAATGTACTGCAATTTAGGACAGAAACTATGTATACAATAACGAAAGTCATGTAATAATCGTGCAAAGTTAAGTCATGTAATCAAATATTATCGAGTTAGATGTTCCATTATGTTCTTTTCCAATTGTGGGAAACTAAACTTAACTGCCTCAAACATTTTCAAAATTGTTTATGTATGACTATACTGTACACCATACATAAACATACCCATATACATACATACATACATATATATGAGTAAACATAAACTCTGAGGTTGTACTTTAAATATATTTGTAGCAATATTTTGACGGCAAATTTATTCATAATCGTTATTTCTTCTTTGTGGATTGAGGTATAGTAGACAATATTTAATCGTTTTGCGAGTAACAGTAAGATTGTAGAATATTTGGTTTACATGAATCTCCCTAGAAATTTTACTATTTATTCTTAAATAAAATTGTTTTATTGTATATAAACTACGACATGTGTTGTATAATGTATTCATTTCCCATAACCTTATCGTAATACTACACATTTGTATGAGAAAGGAGGAATGCAGGGATTTAGAATGTAGTCAAAATCTTGGAACACGGAGTTACGCATACTTAAACATAAGTTGGTACAACAATTAAATAATTATAGGGTGGATAAATTCCAAACAATTGGGAAGAAGGAAGAAAAATAGTGAAAATGAACAAAAATCCAAGAGTCAAACGGGGGGAAATTTTGGATAAACGAATAAGTGGCCAAAGGCACGGCGAGACAGTTTTATTTACAATATGATTAATCTAGATCAACAATAACTATCAGGCAGGTCTTTAGGAGACGACCGCGAATATCTCAAATCAAATCAAATCTTGTAATGGGCCTAATTAAACAATAAGACATTTTTCATTAGTCAAGTCAATACAAAATAACCCATTCTATCACTAAATCTAATAGTTATAATAATTACAGTTACTGTTTAAAAATTTTAGGAACTATTGGACGTTGTAACAGGATATGTTTAGTATTCCCAATATCAGTTTTACAGTGTCTGTTTTTTTTTTTGTAATTTTCAAAGGTTTGGTTAAAACTTAAGAGATATTGTTAGAGTGTTAATCAGTTGTATTCCAATGTACAGTGTGTGCTTTTTGGAAAAAAACACATTTTTGTGTTTAGGGATTAAATGAATTGTGCAATGTGTGTGTACTTTATACAGAAAAGTCTATATGGAAAAGTTATGTAAGAAAATCAAAGATTCAATCATTTAAATGGATGGGTAAGTCAAAACTGATTAATTGTAAAATTGCTCTCTGTAGGATTGACGCTTTCAAAAGAACCAATCCTATCGTCTTCTTCTTAGATGTGACTAGTCCTCGCAGACATCTTTTGAATTTTAAAAACAGGTTTTGTCTTCTAGCTCTCAAATCTCCAAACTGCAACTGCATATGCTTATATGGAGATGGATGAGCCCACAATTAGCAGTTACAATAATTTTCAGTTTAATAATAGTTTGTCCCTAAAATGTATTGCTGCAACGCATCTCAATTTTTGGCTACTATCTTGGCCAATTGAACGATGCAATCACTTCGGCCACTATCTTGGCCAATTGAACTATACAATCACCTCGGCCACCATCTTGGCCAGTTGAACGATGCAATCACTTCGGCAACCATTTTCGCCAATTCAACGATGCAATCACTTCGGCCACCATATTAGCCAATTGAAAGATGCGGTCACTTCGGCCACTATATTGGCCAATTGAAAGATGTGGTCACTTCGGCTACTATCTTGGCCAATTGAACGATGTAATCACTTCAGCTACCATCATGGCCAATTGAAGGATGCGGTCACTTCGGCCAACATCATGGCCAATTGAAGGATGCGGTCACTTCGGCCAACATCTTGGCCAAATGAATGATGCGGTCACTTCGGCCAACATCTTGGCCAAATGAATGATGCGGTCACTTCGGCCACTATTTTGGCCAATTGAACGATGCAATCACTTCGAGTAGTAGTATATTGGTCAATCGAAGGATGCGGTAATCTTCCAGGGAGCATGATTTGACAATATGGCTGATGATGGAAAGTGCAGTGTAAGGGTTTGCTCTACCTAGGTGAAGAATCAACTGGGGTTTAATTATCCATGTTAGTATCTAACATGACTTCATAGTAACGTGCTTCATAGTGACTTCAGCGTCGTGCCAAGGATCCGAAAGCAGCCAAGGCTTATCAATGATCTCTTTGTTTTGACAGAGTTCAGCGTTCGACAACGACCACGGTTGCGTCCTGAGCTGCGCATGGTAAATGGTAACGCGGTAACGGTCTGGTCCCTTTACTTTTACCACCGGTAATTATCTGTTGTGAAACGTAATGAACCTGAGCGGATGTTATCTGCGAGCTCAGTTCCTTTAAACTTTCAGGTAACCAAGTTAATGCTTGAGGGTGAGAGAATGTCTAGGACAGCAAGGGGTCCAACGCTTTAAAGAATTCTCGTCGTACTCCAGTATAAACGAGTGTTTTTATTCAAGAGTTGCGGGGCTAAAGTAGTTATTTTTCTGCCTAGGCAAAAGGAGCTGAAGTCGAGGGTATCATATGCACACTCTTTTCACTGAAACAATTTGTCCACTGATTATCTTCACACAATAGCCTCAATCAGTAAATTTACAATTGTGTGTTTGTTTACTATATTGTTGATATATGAATACTATCGCAGTCGAAGTCATTTTATATCTATCAAACAGCGCATTACCTTATACAATAAACCACTATCGGCATGTTTACTAACATTTAAACGTAAATCAATAAGTTTAATTTATCATTACGTTGGCGGAGTAATAACTAATACAATGTTACGGTAACAGCTGTTTATGTATAAAATATAAATAAGGTGGACACTATTTTATTTTGGGAGCAAATTTAAATATAGAGTTAAAAACGTGCATTTCCATTTTTTTTATTGGTTAGCTTAACGGTGGAATACTACAAAAATTAATTAAATCACTTGGACAAAAAGTTTTTGATTTACAACCCTCATCCATTTTTACTTTTCCCCCCTTTGCATGGTATATGATGCGAGTACCATGCCTCACTTTAAATTAAAGTTTCCTAAAGGTTTCACTCGCTTAGCTTAGTCAAGAGCAGATTATTGTGTCGGCATAGGTGAGCACAGTGGGTAAGGGTTAATCCCCTTTCTTACAATGGAAAACGTTTTGTTTTCATCATAACTGAGCTTGAGTTTCGGGTGGATATATCCTTCAACCATTTTCAACGTGCAAACTTCAATAGGTAAATGTTAAAAATTTGCACCACAATAGCTTATCACTTTTTAATAAATTCTAGTAAGTTGTCAATACAGTTAATGTGTCTGTGTCAGTAGTTTGCTGAAGATCAATTAGAGTAAAATATGGTTTGATCTTGGCTTTTAATTTAAATAAGTTTTTATTCAGCGTAGGATTTACTCATGATTTGATTTTTACGACGCGGGATACACCAGTGTGCGTACTATGATGTGAATATGAGTGAATTATGAATGTTGAATAACCGAGATGTCAGCATTTACTGACTCATCTGGTTCTTTGGCAAAGACCAATCATTAAAATCCCAAAATGATCAAGGATAGCTAGGTACAATTTTGACCCACCCACAGGAACAGATAAATTGTCTTTTAGTAATGTAAAAAAGTCCATGGTTGTAGGAAATGACGAGTTAGAATTTAGAACGTGTTACGTTACAAGGCATAACTCGACATTTTCGTGCAGTGCTACTTTGGCGCTGTCTATCACCAGTCACCACAAGGACTGAGCCCTGCTTCACGAACTATACCAGTCCACTTTCACTCTTCGTAGCCACGACTGCGGACTGCGGCTGCGGCTGCGCGTTGCACGCCGAGGCGAACACGTCATATATTCGCCTGTTATGTCTTCTCCACACTCAGTCAATTTTGGTATCAGAGTGTTTCCATTAAATAGAACTACCAAATTATAGAAAAGATAACCATATGACGAGACGTCGATAAATTTCTTACTCCATTAGTGTACACGTTATATACGTAATGGTTTTCAAGGCGTTAGTATTTAAAGATCACTAACGTATATACATATAGGAATAATGGTTATACAATTGTTGTTTTTCTATCAAATAGAATCAACATAAAAGTTTTTGACAAATCGTGTGACTAGAAATCATTGAAGTTCAAAACATTTACTTGGATTACTCTTCTGAGATATAGTAGGAAAAATCCCTTACG